TCTTTTTGTGATGCTAACAAAACGGGGGAGAAATGTGCAGATATATGATATGATATGATATGTTATATGCAAGCACAAAGAAAAGGAGATAGATTTTGGTGTACATATTTTACGGTGCAAATTTTGCACTGATGCAATGCAAATCATATCCTGTACCTTATTTTATTCATAAACAGAATATAAAAATTTCATATCAAATCACTTTGATCTGAATATTTTGAATATCTGCTAAATTATATGTTTGATCATATTTCTCAAAATTATCCCAAAATTTATATATTTGCATGGAAAGTTTTGTCACCATCAAAAAGGGGGAGATTATAGGGAAAACCTCTTAATAGATTTTGAAGTTAACAAACTATCCATATGTGTTTTATAAGTCTGATAAATGCCTTGAAGTATTTTGATTCAGGAAGTTATTCTTGGAAGAAAAACATATAGCAATATTGATCTTGTTCGTGATCAGATTGTGAAGTCACTTCAAGCATAAGAAGTTCGAACTTTATACTGCAGATGAAGAACTTCCGATTTTATACTAAAAGTTCAGAACGTGACACAAGATCAAAATGTAAATAACGGTTAGTGATCTGGTTCGGATTTCACATATATAATAAATTAATTGACTCAATCTTGAAGATTGTTTTGCAACGGTTTAATATGCAAAACATCGTAATTGATTAGCAATCAATCTCGAGGCAAGTTATTTTCTAAACGGAGAAGCTCTACTTATGGAAATCAAGACTTTGGTTGTATGGGCGACTAGATTCAATAGAGATTCAGATTTTGTCCCTCAACGGCTACTCAATCTTCTTGATACAGTTCTGTCCAACGGGTAAATTGGAAGACGATCCTCTAGAGATTGTCCATCGGCTAGATTGGAAGTGAAGGAGTATAAAAGGAGACCAAGTGCCGATGAGTAGAAGTAAGAGATGAGGTTCAGAATTTAGAATTCCAAAGTCTGAGCGATCTTCAATCTATATATTTGGCTTTCATGAGCTTTAAAGTGTAATTTGAACCTGAGACTGAAAAGAATGATTGAATGAGATAGTCACTGAGGATTATCACTCACAGTTGTAATCTCTTGATTAATCATCTAGTGGAATCCAACCAATAAGAGTAGACGTAGGCTTGATCTAAGCCGAACCACTATACTTCTTGTGTGTAGATTTTCCCATCCCTTAAAACTCTTTTTATGTATTATATTGCACACCTTGCACAATTGTTATCAAAAACTGTTTTAAATTTGAACGTTATTCAAACTTTGTTCTTGATTTTTTATTTCCGCTTTAAATTGATCAAGAATTATTTAAATCACTTGTTCATCCCCCCTCTAGGTGATCCTTGCTAGCCACCTCAACAATGAGGAGATTGGTCATCTAGAGGACCATAGCAACCCCCCAAGAACTCCTAAATAGAACCGTAAAATAGAAAGATGGAAATTATGCCGAGCGTCATCTCGATACCATTTGGATTCACTCTGTTTATTTTTTTACTCCTCTTCTTATTCACCTTCTTTACATTACTCCACCACAGCTCCTTTGGTTTCACTTAATCAATTCCTTCTTCCCGTTTTGTTAGGATTGAGAGCACAAACACAATAAAATTGAGAGTAAAGTCGAGAAAGAAAAATCAAGACACGAGATTTTTTTCTGATTCACCATTAAACTAAGGCTACATCCAGCAGATGATTCCATCATAATTAGCACTTCGCACCTCTCTGTTACAATATTCTATTACAAGAGAAAAATATTATATATACTCAGTGGCTATTCATGGAAACCCAAAATGCCAATAAAATATGCCCAAATTATAAAAGTCCTCTGGCGAAACTCTGTGCTTTCCTATTAATGGAGAGTATGAACCACACTCCAACACGTTTTTCCCAATTCTTGACATTGCAATGTTTCTGATATAGGTTCTACATAAGCATTATGTGGTCCGACATCGGTGATACAATTTCTAGAGGTCCAACGAGAAAAATCAGCCGGGGTCGACATTCAGAGCCATAGATGCTGCAGAAATCGACACAAGGGCGCATGCCAACAATGTCAATAGCATGACAAAGAAACCTTGACAGAGATAGAGGGCCACCACGGGATTACAATGAGAAGAAGACGGATGAAAACCCTGGACAATGCGTCCAAAAGATCATCAGCGACGGGTATCATGAACAATCTACTAAACGGGTGGTACCTGGGGAAGGTGCCGAGACACTTTCTAGACTAGTTGCGGGGGAAAATAATGGCCTCTGCCACTTTTTCTTATTCCACAACATTTATACAAGCATGAGCATGGGATTTCAACTCAACCTTGTCGATCACACTGAAGAGTTGATACGATGGATCGATACTTTGAATGACCGACCAAATTCAGGAAAAATTACCAAAAAAATCCTAAAAACCTAATGAAGTTGTGCAAATTCAAAACTAAACCTTTTTAATTGTATCGATTGAGTCCTAAACTTTTTCATATTTTGCCAATTGAGTCCATCCGTCCAATTTTAGCTGGAAATCACTGACGTAGACACCGCCCGTCCTACGTGGCACAGCCGACGTTAACGTGGACATTTTTAATAATATTTTAATAATATTTTGAATTTCTTTATAATTTTTTCTTTTCTTTGCCTTGTTTTTTTCTTTTTTTCCCCGGACATAGGATGGCCATCGTCCATGTCAGCGATTTAATTGGCAAAACATGAAAAGATTTATGACTCAATGGGCATAATTAAAATGTTTAAGACTGAACTGACACAATTGTAATAGGTGTAGAACATTTTTTGTAATTCTCTCCCAAATTTATGGGGACAGCTATTGTTTTAAGTTTTTTTATAGCTAAAGTCGACAATGTGATCAAGAGAAGTCCAACGACAAGATAGGAAGGCAAATCAGCTTAAGTTCTTAGGATTGGATAGTTGGACAAAGGAGACTTATGGTTAGGAAAGTTAGGTTTTGTTGAAATTTGTGATCCAATTTTTAGAATAGTGTAGAATGCAAAAATATATGTTGAATGCTAAAGAACTCTAATTCTACAGAAAATTTAGTTTTGGGAGGGAGGAAAAGTTTATGGTTCTAGCTTAGTTTGGGCGAAATTACCAAAAAAGTCCTACACCAATTACACTTGTGTCAATTCAATCCTAAACCTTTAAATTGTAACAATTCTATAATAAACCTTTCAATTGTGCCAATTATGTCCTAAATATTCAATTATGCCAATTCAGTCCTAAACATTTTGATGATTTTTCAATTGAGTCTTAAACCTTTCAATTATGTCAATTGAGTCCTAACCCTTTTGGCGACTTGTCAATTTAGTCATTTCGATCAATTTTGCCTGGAAAACGCTGACATGGACATTTATTTTTCCATTTTTCTAAATTTTTATTCTTTATTCTTTTCTTTTCCAACTCTTGACCGACAACGGCCGCAATGTCCTCATGATGGTGAGGGCGTCGCGGCCCTTGCCTATGACCAATGAGGGTCGCAACACCCTTGTCCAGACCAATCGAGGGTTGCCGGCCCTCGCTTGTGGCCGGCGACTTCTGCGCCCTCACTGGCCAAAAGTTGGAAAAAAAAAAGGAAAAAAAAAAGAGAAGAAAAGAAGAAAAAAAGAATAAAAGATAAAAAAAATTCAAAAAAAAGTTTACAAATATGCAATACGTCAGCGTTGATCGTGCCACGTAGGACGGCCAGTGCTGATTAGGCCGCCATGTTAGCGTTTTCGAGCCAAAATTGACCGAAAGGACTAAATTGGCAAATCGTCAAAAGGTTTAGGACTAAATTGGCATAATTGAAGGATTTCGCACTGATTGGCAAATTATCAAAAGGTTTCGGACTAAATTAGCCAAATTGAAAGGTTTAGAACTTGGACAAAAAAAAAGGTTTAGAACTGAATTGGCATAAACACAATATATATATATATATATATGACTATTTTGATAATTTTTCTGCGGCAGTTAGGAATCGTGGTAAAAATATTCTAAGGCGGTGGATGCGCTCTATGAATGGAGATTGGATTGATCGTGGAGGTGGGTGGGGAGTAATCCTCCACCGTGTGGGGAGCTCATATCCCTTTGTAATGCTCCTCCACCACTCCCCCATCACTCGTACAATTATTTTGTTAAACGAAACAAACTATCCATGTCCCACGAAATCTTGAACTTATATACCTTGTCCCTTTGTCATTCCTCTGCCAAATATACACCACATACATACACATCAAATCACAAACTTACACTGGTATCAAAATCACGTTTCCGCAATCCAGCATCGCTATCCGAGACCCAATAATCAACGAATTTCCAGATGCACTTTTCGCATTTTGCATAGATGGGTTAATTGGAACTTCAACCTACTTTCATCATTAGTTGCTGTCAAATTCTCCGTAAAAACTAAAAGCTACTTAAGAATAATCTTTCAGAAATAGGTCATCTGTTGGGTTCCCATCATATGACACATCAAGAAAAGTCTTTTAAGGACCTAATTACTCGGCAGATCTCTATCAAACGCGAACTTTCTCAAGCCTGACAAGTCCTCGACCAATGAGATTTTTCGAAGGCATGGGGCTTCCGACGATAGACCCGACAGTGGGATCACATGTTGATCTAGAAAAAGAGGACCACAAACCAGTTTTCCATGCAACAGTCCAACAGTTGTGAGACCAGTATGACAGACAACAAAGGAATTGGAGAATTTCTTATGTATTGTGTTGATCTACTTGTATATCAAATCATTTCTCCAACACAATAAATGAGTGATTGCTAGGTAGTTTGGCAGCTTGTGTCGCAACAGCATTCGTATTTCTTGCTCTTTTCATCCTTATCCTGGTAGTATTCTATCATAACCCCTCCCAAGATGATTATCCTGAGGCAATGCTAAGGGGATAAGATACAGGAACATACACCAAGGCAATGCTAAGGGTATAAGATAAGGGAACATTCGCCAACTTGCAACTAGGGTTGATGTCTTGAACCATTACAAATGGCATCACGTAAGTACAGAAAGAAAGGGTGACGTCTGCTAACTTGGCTTATATTGACTAAACCGAAAAAAATTTCAGCAAACTGAGATGGTTTCTACAAGTCCAATGTTATAAGAAGACAGATTGTATACAAGATCAAACGAAACCGCAGTTGCAACATCACATACTGCGCAAATTTCTCGTGGAATGGCAATGGCTCTCCTTCAGCATCTGTTTCTGTCAACCTTGGTGATAGCTGCAGTGATTACAGTTCTCTTAAAGAACAAGTCTAGGAAAGGAAAGCACAACCTCCCACCAAGCCCTCCCAAGTTACCGATCCTCGGCAATCTCCATCAGCTAGGCAAATTGCCCCACATATCTCTCCACCACCTTGCGAGAACATACGGCCCGATCATCTTCTTACAGCTTGGTGAAATCCCAACTGTAGTTGTTTCCTCAGCTAGAATGGCGAAGGAGGTAATGAAAACTCACGACCTCGCACTTTCGAGCCGTCCTCAGATCTTCTCCGCCAAGCACTTGTTCTATGACTGCACTGATGTGGTCTTCTCCCCCTACGGTGCTTATTGGAGGCATATAAGAAAAATCTGCATACTTGAACTGCTTAGCGCAAAACGAGTTCAGTCATACAGTCATGTCAGGATAGAAGAAGTTGCTCGTTTAGTTGACCGGATTACAGAGTCTTATCCAGGCACCACAAATCTAACCAAACTGCTTGGTTTATATGCAAATGATGTTCTTTGTCGGATAGCTTTTGGGAGGGATTTTTCGGGAGGAGGGGACTACGACAGGCATGGGTTTCAAAAGATGCTGGAGGAGTATCAGGAGTTGCTCGGAGGATTCAGCATAGGAGATTTCTTTCCTTCCATGGAATTCATCCATAGCCTGACTGGGATGAAGTCCAGACTTCAGCACACTTTTCGGCGCTTTGATAATCTTTTCGACGAGATACTGAGAGATCATCAAAAAGAAAATAAAGCTACGGAGTTGCACAAGTATCTTGTGGATGTTTTACTTGATATACAGAAGAATGGTTATGGTGACATGCCTCTCACCAGGGACAATGTTAAAGCCATCATCCTGGTTTGTGAATCATTCTTCCCTCTGGTTCTGTATTTTATCATATCAATAGATCTGTATAGCCAAGCAGATCCCTTAGCATGAAGAAACCTCTCATATGTAGCATATGGATTTTGCAGGATATGTTTGCAGCAGGAACTGATACAACGTTCATAACCCTTGATTGGGGAATGACAGAGCTTGTCATCAATCGAAAAGCCATGGGAAGAGCACAAGCTGAAGTACGAAGTGTCGTTGGAGAGAGAAAATACGTGCAAGAAACTGACCTACCTCAACTGCAATACTTGAAGGCTGTCATTAAGGAGATATTCCGGCTGCACCCTCCTGCTCCAGTGTTAGTCCCCAGAGAATCCATGGAGGACGTAACTATTGATGGGTACTCCATCCCAGCAAAAACCCGTTTCTTCGTCAATGCTTGGTCAATTGGGCGGGACCCAGAATCCTGGGTCGATCCAGAATCATTTCTACCAGAAAGGTTCCTTGATGAAAATAGCAACATAGACTTCAAAGGGCAGGATTTTCAGCTGATACCCTTCGGTGCAGGTAGAAGGAGCTGCCCGGCTATTGCATTTGGAAATGCCAGTGTTGAGCTTGCTTTAGCTCAACTTCTTCACAGTTTCGATTGGGAGCTTCCTCATGAGACCCAGCCCAAGGATTTGGATATGACCGAAGTTTTTGGCATAACAATGCACAGAATCGCCAACCTCATGGTCATAGCGAAACCCCGCTTCTCCTAGACAACAGTAGAGACAAGCAAAAAAGCTGGCAAAAAATCTTCTCTCCAACCTAGTAATCAATCACCTTTTGCTTGTTATAGAAGCCTGAGAAAGGAGAAGCAGCTGGATGCTATCTGTGTTCTATAGTTAATAATATGTCATGTACTTGGTCTGCAAATACATAATCTCGAGCATTTAAGCCGAGGACAAGCTAGTTTCTGAAATCAGCACATACATACACACACATATAACTCCATTTCAAATATGAAGCTTATAATCGGGCTCTACTATGATATCCAGTCTGAAGATTTACATTTCAGCATCAAAGTGCGACCAGACATGCTTTGGCATCAAAATGCACAGTATAACCAAACTTATTCTTGCTACCAAGATCTTTTCTCCAAAACATGAATGAGCAGATTAGTAGTCAAACCTATATATATCAGGTCTAGCCCCGTCAAGTGGGATGTAAAGAATGCAGAACACACTTGATGTTATTCTCAAACTAACGGGTTTTATGAGCGTATGCCTCACTTAGAACAAATGTTGTCCCAAATAGTATACTGCTCATGCGATTATATGCCAAATAAAAGCTCCCTTCGCTATTCGAGATAGCATTATGTGAGAACTGTGGCAATGGAGAAAGAAAAGGGTAGATAAAGTATATGAGAAAACAAAACATATGGAGGCATTGCCGCATTAATCATTGCAGGCACAGTTGTCCCACACCTACTACATACAAATTGTCCCACAATTGTCCAACTCAGCAAGAGCTCAACAAAATTTCTTTGATGAAATACTGCTTCTCTCACCAAAAGTGCTCGGATAATTTACAATCCAGCTAGTCTATGCCAATCAACTAGCCAAAAACAAAGCCTAAATTGACAGCTACAAGCTACATTACCTTGCATAGATGCGAAGGATTACAAAAGAAAAGGAAGTGGCTTTATTGTCATTCTATCTACTTCCACCATTATGCTGGGAAAACTCAAAGTCTTTATCTCAGGGTCCAAAACTGAGATCTTAAGGTACTTCAACAGTAACTTGGCAAATATTATTAGTGGGTTCTCAGCTCCTGAAGATAATGACCAAGTTGTTGTGCACCGAGGAATAAGGCGTCGGCAACAAGAAAGAGCCCAACCTATACCAGAATGTAGCAACCAGAAATTAGTTCTTTTTGGCCAACACCCAGAAATTAATCTATCAAGCCAATGTGAGACTCATAATAGACCGTGAGGGGACTTTTCACAAATCTATCAAATAGAAGAATCACCAGACGAGCGGAAAATACTAATCGATAAGCCCAACCCTCTTTGGCAGCTGCTCCTCTTTGTTGGTCCGTCCAACTGAGAATGGGGAAGAGCAGAAAAATATATGAATGTCCAGTATAGTAAAAGAAATGTCTGCTACCAAGTTCTTTTGCAGTTTACTTAATGATAATTATACTTCCAAGGATAACTTCACAAGAAAAAGGAAAAAACTAATTTACTTCATCTTGAAGCTTGTCATTTTTTAAAAAGGGAAAAAACCACCAAAAACCCCAAACTATATACACTGTAACATATTTACCCTGAACTTTTTTTTTGTGATATCAAAAATTCCAAAGTATGCCCCTTTTGACACATTTACCCAAAAAAATTTTATTATGACAAAAAACCCAAAACTTGTACCTATTTGACACATTTACCCTCCGTCAATGTTTTGTCGGATATTTTTCAGCCAAAACGTTGTTTTTATTTTACTTAAGCAACGTAGACACCATGTCAAAACCATTCGCTTTCCTGTATCCATATAGGCATATTTTTAACAATGTTCATTGGCGGAATCTTGACAGAGGGTAAATGCACCACACAAATACAAGTTAGGGATTTTTTGTGTCACAGAAAAAACTTTAGGGTATACTTGTCACGGTGGACATAACTTGAGGTTTTTGGTGGTTTTTTCCCTATTAAAAAAGATCTTGATCATCAAATATATCACAAAGTCCATGAAACCCATCCAAAGAAATCATTTGCTAAGTTACAAGTATGGAAAAGTTTAGGATTCTTTGAACATGGGAGTTGGGACCGTATTTCCTGGGTGCTATGTGCACACACCGCATGGTCTCTATCTGAGCAGTATTGTTTGTATGACAGAAAGATAGGCTATATTTAGGCAAGACTGTATAAAAATCCTCACATCTTCTCCATTTTTCAATTTTATCCTAACTTTTTAGGTTATCAAAATATTTTATCACCTTTTGAACTCATATCATATCTATTCCAAGATAAGGTTCCATCACAAAACTATATAATAACCTTTTTTACCTTTTTATGTATTCGCAAGATTCCCACTAAGGCCATTATTTTTTTTAGGAATAACCTAGTATTTTATTGTTTATGTACAAAAATAATTGAGAAATTTATAGTAAATTAGAAATTGTTGATATAAGTTGCATATACATTTGGGAAGGAATCTAATGGAACAATCTTTCTCAGAGACGTTGGGATAAGATCGAAAAACTTTGAAAAAGGTGGGATTTATTTTGTCATTTGGCCTTATATTTATCACCTAAAACTGAACAGGTGGTCCCACCCAGTCAACTGATTTGTGCCCATACAGATCAGGTTAACTCAAGCTGCATGAATGCACAACCTCATGATGTTTTCCACCATCCAACCACATGATCTCTAATTATCCGTATCTGCAAATTTCAAACTCCGGCAGAATGTCCTCAACCAATCTTCTATCATAGCATGGCATATTGTAGGTTCTAGAAAGCATAATAGAATGCACAGACAGAGTCTCTGAATGCATATCTTTCCATACTCCGGTTGTATTATTGTCAAGAAAATTAGAAAATAAAGTAGGAACTACAAAACAGTTATGCGCATCTGAAGAAAAAGGGCTCAAATAATGAGATATTTACCCCAGAAATTCCGAAACACCACCAATTCCAGCAAATTTAAGAGGCTGGGGGCCCTCTCTGGGGAGATCCTGCTCAACAATGGTCGCACCCACCATCACAACTAGCTCATCAACTCTAATCATGGATGACAAATCATAGAAGATGTTTACCTCTTCTTCAGAAGCCTCTAGGCCACCTTGAACCCAGAAAAGATTTCTATAACCAGCATTGTATAGGAGCTCGCAAGCAGCTAACGATCTGGGAAAAAGAAGAGAAAAGCAAAAGAAATGATGATAAGCCATAGTACGATTAATTGTCAATAGACATAAAAGCAAGCCTATATCCAAGAACAAATGTGTGCAAACAAAGATCCTAGCCTGAATATCCTTACAATTGCATTAACGATGCAAACACATTATTTTCTACTAGCCCTTAATTGTTACAATTCCAAGATTGGGAAACCACGACACACTTAGATGCTTGTTATGATCATGCTTCTGATGCTAAAGCAACTGGGAAGCGTCTTATTTAGTTGTCCAGGAATTTCGCTGCTCTGCCAGAAAACAAAATGGTTCCAACTTTGCCACATCACTCAAAAGGTCAGCTTCTCATGAGAAAAGCTAGAAGCTCGTGATGGACAGTTAATCATTCTAGAGCGAAGTGGCATTCATTGTGAATAGTGGAGAATGAAATCACGTAAAATTGGTTTCTCCAACAAAGGCACGTGAGCAAAAAATAAGAAACCAAAGCCACCCAATTAAAATTGGACAATTTTAAGCAAAAATTCTTACCTCAAACCTTTCTGGCATGCAACAATAAGATCAGAATCTTTTGGGAATTTTTCCTCGATACTTGGTAAGAACCGCCTGTTGAAGAGTAAATAATCTATATACTGTTGCATGTAATTAGGGAAAAAGAATGACAGCGTGTATTTTCAGAACGAACTTCTTATAGGACAGTGTAGGTGCACCACTCCACCAACCACCTACAAATACATGGAGAAATTGGTCATAACTGCCAATGGCCCTTCTCTACTAAGTTACATGACATCACAACCTGTAAACACCAATCATGCCTAAAGCATCACAGTCCAGCAACACCAATATCTTTCATTTCTAGCAGATCATATGGTAGAAAGAAGACTAATTTTATCACATTCTAATATCCCAAATAGGATTTCTTCCAATGTACAAGTGCTAGATCATAACTGAAAAGTATGGCTTTGCCAAAACCAGTCACCTCTCTAAGAAGCAAGTAAAGCAAAAGATAGTACCCATCACAAAGTTCGTCGTCTTCCTAGAAAGAGTCCCGGGATCAAATCCACTATTGTCATCAAATATGGGAATCCAAGTTGATCCTTTGACCCAAGCCTTAAGCAGCAGAGAAACAAAATAACAAGAATATTTCAATCTTTGATGAGGAAGAACGATTAATAAGACAACCTCCACATACAAAATAAATAAATAAAACTCTGTTGACAGTAACGAATACCGCCACAAGTCAGGTGGCAAACGACATGCCAAATCCCACAGCAGGAGATAATCATCAGAACAGTAAAATACAATATAATATGGTAGAATCCACAAGATGACAAGGTAGAAGCATTTTATTTGGCCAAACAACATAATGCACATTTGATATTTAGCAAGAGTTGACTGAGGAATAATGCCAATTTACCAGCTTGCATTAAATTCTCCTAAGGCGGAGTTATTCTCAGGGCTCAACAGAGAAATTGGAAGGAAAAAATTGAGCAAACGAGCGCTTGCCTTGTTGCGTTCCACAGAAGGGCGAACATCTAATAGGGTCTTATCTGAGAGTTGTATTGCATATCCAGCTTCCCTTGGGGTCAGACATTTAACCTTTTGTTCCCTAATCTGTAAAGATTCCAGAAAAAGCAGAGCCTGAGGCACATATCCTGAAAGTTACCTACATCAGCTGAGGAAGCGACAGCTGCGTACCGGGTGATGTACAGTGTTTCAGTCAGCATAAGACAAATGTGATATAATAAGAGTGCTGATTTGGCCCTAAAGTACTGATTATGATCGAAAAGGTTTGACATTTGATCCCGAAACGCATGTTAAGGAATGTCTAATTCATAATGCTTGCACAGACATGAATAGCCTAAAAATCAGTTTTTGGTTCAAAACCTAGGGGCTTTAGATTATCTCATTTCATATTTAGAAAATGAAACAGGAAACGGCATTCATATAGCATCAATTAAAAACAACTACAACATGAGGGCCCTAAAAGCAACTAGATATTAAAACAGCCAGTTTGATTCTCAACCTCCCCGTGAATTTTGTCTCCAGATGTAACTGGACTGTACTGAAAGCAAGCTATTCGACGACTTCCGAAATATGAAACAAGCTACAAACTTCAAAGTCCGAAATTGCAGAACTTAGCAATTTTCCAATGGATAGATGTGTGAAGTACCAGAGAGTCCCATCTCTTTCGGGCAGCAGCCAGATCCTTCATTTGCCTCAAGTCATAGTCATCCGTGTCAGCTATCATTCTGATAACACTCCGCTTCTGAGAGCAAAAACACACAACCAGAAAAAAGGCAATAAGAGAGTCGAAACAAGCGAGACGATAGGCCCAAAGTCAAGTTATGCATCCACATTAAAGAAACGAAAGCAAGAACAGGACAATGCTATCAGAAAAGGATAATACTTCGACCCACCAACAAAAATGACAAGAACCAAGAAAAGCAAATCGATCCCATTTTCGTGCAAACGAGAAGGATAAGCAAATTACTGAACTTTATGGCGAATCCCGAAAGTTGAACTCAATCCGAGAGAATGCGTCCTCGTCCACGAGCTCTTCGCAGTTTGCACTCTGCGGGAGGTGGTGGACTGCGAAATCGTGAGAGGGCTGAGAGAGGGAAGCCCCAGAGCTTCCATTGCGGAACACCTTGGATAACGATGCGAAGTATGTAATGTAACGGGACGTTGGAATGCTCTCTTTCGTTTTTCAGTTTTGGGGTACGAAGATTGCTTTCTTCGACTTTCTTTCTTGTTTATTCGAGAGAAGCAAACGACAACATGTTCTTATCCGCATCATTCAGGGACCATGCTGCGTTGGGTCGATAACAGGTTCTGTCAGGTCTGCTCTTGTGCTGTCGTCGGCCCAAATTCGGTTCATTTTGGCAAGCCCGCCAATTATTTGGGCCACTTTCGACATGCTCAGCCATCTTCCTTCCACCACTCAACCATTAGAAGTGCGAAAATATGTTAGGTACCCCCGATTTGAGGACAATCACATTGCAAAAATCTCCAAAAAGTTTGCATTTTCTCGTGAGACACAGTGTCGTTTTCACATATGTGATTGACTTGGTTGACAGTTTTGTGCAACATCTTCTTATGGAAAATATTTTTTTTATGCTGAAGTGAAAAACCTATCTGCATCCAATGCATGGTGGGTGAGGATGGGTTTTGCATGGTGGGGTGAGTGTAATGAGCAGTCAGATATGACGACGTGAGGTCTTCGATGTGGTTTTTCTTCCAACGTTGAGTCTATCTTCATGCGTAGAAGAAAGAAGCCAAAGAAAGCAACAAGCGTGTCTTAATTTCTCTTGACACTCATAAGCTGCGCATGGGTTTCATTTCAGTTTTGGTCGCACGAGAGAGATTTGTTCTTCAGCCACAAATCGTGGGAGAGATTTGTTGTTTGCTGTTGAAGACAAGTGGGGTGGTATACTTTTTCACTAGGTGCAGCGGAGACCACAATTCCCTTCATGCGCAACGGACTTGATATTTACTGAAGAGTGCACACAAGCAATAATGGAGACACCTTGTCCTTGGCACTATAAAGGGCGAAGCAACTCTCCCAATAGAAGACTAGAAGAGGAAAGCCAAAACCAATAAAAGGAATAAAAGAGAAAAATCATTGTGTCCATTCAACCAATTTTGTCAATTCATTCTTAAAAGTCCTAGATCTATTACACTTTTACCAATTAAATCATAAATATGATTGATTCCATCCGATCAATTTTGGCGGGAAATAGCTAATGTGGACGCTGACCGTCCTACGTGGCTCTGTCGGTGCTGACGTGGATAATTTTTAATAATATTTTAATATTTCTTTCTAATTTTTATTAATTTTGATGGATTGAAAAAAGATAAAAGAAGAAAAAATAGGAGGAAAGAAACAAAAAAGAAAAAGTAAAGAAGGAAAAGAGAAGAAAATAAAAGGGGAAATATAAAAATTTAAATAAAAAATTTGAAAAAAATATATTAAAATATTATTAAAAATTCTCCACGTCAGTACTAGCTGTCAATCATGTTCTTAAAATGGCCAACGTCCATGTTAGCGAATTTCGACCAGAATTGGCCTAATGGATTCAATTTGTAAAATATGAAAATGTTTAAAATTTAATTGGCACAATTAAAAAGTTTCGGACTAAATTAACAAAAGTATAATAAATTTATAATTTTTTGGAAATTTTCATCGATTCCCTTCTCGCGCAATGAACTTGATATTTATTAAAGAGGACCCACAAAGCAATGATGGAGACACCTCGTCTTTGGCACCATAAAGGGTGAAGGAACTCTCACAAGAGATGACTGTAAGAGCAAAGCCAAAACCAATAAAAGGAATAAAAGAGTGAAATGATTGTGTTTTTGGAGCGGTCCCTTGGTCCTTTTACTGTCTTATGCTTTGTTCTGCGCATCCGACAAGAACAGACTCTCTTTGTCGTACTGTTAAATATGTGGCTATCGAAATTTTAGGACGAGAAGATGCTTGATTGTACGAGCGATCGTACTCGTATAATTATCTTATTAATTAGTGAATTATTTGTAGTTGGATCGAACCACATAAATTCTTTGTATCCTTTGTTATTTCTCGTTATATTTCTCTTTCGATTTCTCTAGCTTTTTATTCAATTGTTAAGATCCATTCACCTTCTACATCAATATATCACGATAGAGACATTGGTATAATCGATCATTAATGCAATAAAAAAAGGAAATCATACTTAGAACTTCACTTGAGAAATTGGTTCCAATTAAACAATGCGTTTGGTACTTATCTGCTCGCGACCGCCATGGCTCGAAGAAACGGCCCAATATTATACTAATTCTTCATGTGTGTCGACCTTTATTTTCGGCCGATACTATCCAGTCAACATATGCTTATCTATTAGCCGGCGGCCATGTTGAAACCCCAATTTCACCTTCTCCTATGTCGTAGGCCAGCTAGTGTTAGACGCCCATGTGTGAGGTGTTAGGTGAAAAAAGTCCAAGGTTGGGATGTCCCGACTCGCGCAAAATTCATTGACTTGAATTTTTTAACAAAGATGAGTTCAACCTCGATCTAACAAAAGAGTCTTCGTCTTTATTACGGTGATTAGAATGTTGACACATCCGAATCTTCCAGTTCTTGCCTGTGAATCTCCCCACTTCCATCTCCTTTAGACTTGTCAATCACCAGACCTTTAATGAAACCTCTTCAGACGTTTTTTCCAAGGATATCACGCCATGAGTGTTCAGCTTGTTGTGGCCCTCGTATGCGCTCTTATGATACCTCTGTTACTAGTCTTTTTGATTGACACAAAGAAGAAGACGCCAGCATCTAGGAATCTCCCTCCCGGTCCTAGGAAGTTGCCGATAGTCGGAAATTTGCACCAACTCGGCTCCTTGCCTCACCGATCGCTCACGCGCCTCTCGAAACAGTATGGCCAGATCATGTTTCTACAGCTCGGCTCTGTTCCCACATTAGTCATCTCATCCGAAGATGTCGCGAGGGAAGTATTCAAGGCCCACGACCGCGCTTTCTCTGGCAGACCCGTCTTTTATGCGGTGAAGAAGTTATCGTATAATTGTTCTGATGTAAGTTTTGGCGCCTATGGCGAATCCTGGAGAGAGCTCAGGAAATTAGTGATACTAGAACTCCTGAGTAGCAAGAGAGTCCGGTTGTTTGAGTCTGTGAGGGAGGAAGAGGTTAAGCTCATGCTTGACACAATCACTTCTTCTCCAGGTCCTGTCAATATTGGTGAATTGGCACTTTTATTGGCTAACAATGTCGTGTGCCGAGTGACTTTTGGTAAGAAATGGCAGGCTGAAGGTGGTGGTGGAAAGAGCAAATTCCACGAGACGGTCCGCGAGATACAGAGCATCTTAGGGGGCTTTTGTGTTGCGGATCTGTTTCCGCAGATAGCTTGGTTTAACAGGCTCAATGGCTTCAAGGCGAAGGTCGAAAAGAATTTCAGGGAGTTAGACAAGTTGTACGATGAAGTGATCGAGGAGCACCGAGACCCTAAAAGGCCTAAACCCGATCATGAAGATCTTGTTGATGTGTTGCTTCGGTTACAAAGCGATCCAAATCAAGTAATTGCCCTCACAGGTGAACAGATAAAAGGCGTATTAACTGTATGTTCCTCTTTGCCCTATATGTCCAGCATATGTTTCCTTCTGTTTACTTCCTTGTCTCTGTTACTAACTAGATCAAAAAAGAAAAAGATTGGGACTAATCGCCTGGGATTTTGTTTCAGGACATGTTCAATGCAGGTACAGATACCTCGTCAGCCACTCTAGTCTGGACAATGACTGAACTCATACGCAATCCATCTATGATGAGAAAAGCACAAGAAGAGGTTCGAGAAGCAGCAAAGGGAAAGTTACAGGTTGAAGAGAGTGACCTTCTACGACTCACCTACCTAAGATCAGTCATCAAAGAGGCACTAAGACTCCATCCACCGCTCCCTCTTCTAGTTCCAAGAGCGACAATCGAGGATTGCAAGATAAGGGGATACGAAATTCCTAAAGGAACGACTGTATTCATCAACGTGACAGCGATATCCACAGACCCAAAATGTTGGGAAAACCCAGAAGAGTTTAGGCCTGAGAGGTTCTTGAACAGCTCCATCGATTTTAAGGGACAGAACTATGAGCTTCTGCCATTTGGTTCTGGCAGGCGGGGATGCCCCGGAATACATTTCGGTGTCGTGATAGTTGAACTTGCAATGGCAAATCTCCTTCATCGGTTCAATTGGAAACTGCCTGAAGGGATGAGTGTCGAAGATATTGACATGGAAGAAGATTATGGCCTCACGACTCACAAGAGGAGTCCTCTTTGCCTGATAGCAACCCCCATAAATGGTTGACATAACGTTCCCATACTACCAATAAGAAAGTTCGCTTGATTCACTCCGTAAAAACACGGACTTTCTTCTGTCTTCGCATGTTTATTGTGTTGTATGGCTACTACAAGTTTTCTGGTTTGACTTTGTGGCAATTGCCGTTACTGGATCTTGTAACCTGAATTATTCAAAAACTTTTGAGAAACAAATTAAAGATCTTAGTGACAGATTGATGCTTTCTTTGTTTGGGTGATATTTTCATTTTTCTTAGTGAACTTCTTTGTATCATTTCGGTTTCATGGACTTCCACCAAGGCAAAGAGGCAATAAAAAGTTGCAGCACAAGTTTTCTGTCATGTGGCTGTTATGAGCTCCAGTTTCAGCTAGGAATCAAAACTAGAAAGCTAGTGTTTGTATAGCTTGATAACCCATGTCTTTACTAGATATTTATCGTACAGACAACTAAAAGACATCATTTGATGAAGATGCTCATCTTTTGAAGCAATCCTAGGAAATTAATCGATCTAGCTCCACAAGAACATTAAAGAACCACAATGAATTTCCAGATGCTCAAAACACCTTTTAAAATGGTCAAGGGCGGCTATGCTAAGCAACTTGTCTTCTCAAGTCAGGGAAAGGAAAGGGACAATAAAGAACTATTTTCGCCACCAATTATTTGGTCTTTACTTCGGAGAGATTAATAAAGATCGGTGACAGCGACATGGTTAGGTTATATATTTGTGTGAACCAATAGATCTTCCGCAGCTCAGCACCGTTGATGATTAAACTAACCCTAAATAAAGCTCATTTCAAACCGCGAATCTTTGAAGACAGATATGCTTCCAAATTTGCCTAGTATCAGCTATTCTTGGACATATTATATGGATAACGACTGAAGAAATGTTTCACTTTGGTAGAATTTGTCATGTGCAAAAGATATGCCTGGATGGATATCTATCTTTTGCCTTCACTGCTTTTATCTTACTATATCTGTGATTGTGGATGTAGCTTTCCTTGTAAATTGAACGTCATTGTCTTCTTTCTAATAGGTAGGAATATGCTGAAAATGTGTATTAATTATGTTGATCATTTGTTCGACAAAGAGGTCGCTTTTAGTTTTTTTTTAGTCGGAATCGCTTTTACTTTGACAAGAGAGGAATAGAATATTTTACCCTCTTTGCGGCAAGTATAAGATATGCGGGAATCAAGTTACAAGTACATAATATATCCAGATGACAATATTCCACATTACACAACTAACCTCGTAATGAAATACTTTGCCTTTTTGTCTGCCTATGGGGCTAAATTAAACTCCTTATTCATATTCATCTAGATGCTGAGACAGTAGATTATTAATCTATCTGATTACCATCCATTGCAGGGTCTTATAATGGACAAATGTTAGATTAAATACAGAAAGAAAAGATTATCCAAAATGAAGCATAATAGTCCAAACAAATCTTCACATAATCCAAGAAGGAGCAACGGAGATCAATTTATGTGGTAGTCAAGTTTGTTTAGCATATACCATGTTCAATTCATGGGGTGTATCAGGTATAGGAATCTCAGAAGCTCTAGAAAGAATACGATTTCAATTCGCAATTTCCATGTTGCCTTTTCGTGAGCACAAGTCAGTGATGAAGCCGCTCACGAGTTTTAGCATGTTGTCTTGTTACCCTGGTTTACATAACTATCCCTGGGTGTTGGCAAAAATTGATTTGCATTCATGGGATAGAATCTTCAGGAAAAGTGAAACAGCATAACTAAAGTTTAGGAGCTGTATGTGTTCCAAAGGTGGAACTACAATTTTTGTGGTTGGGAGAAACGTTTGCACCGGAACTTCACTTGAATTGTTCTTGGAGCTTATGGAAAGGTGGAACTAGCCTTGTTGCAAATGATTTGCCTTTTTTACTTTGTCAACCCTGCTAGCTCTTATTTCATATTCATTAGATGCTGACTTCCATACATTAGCCAGTAGGCTATTAATCGATCTGATTACCTCCATCGCAGGTCATCTACACTCAATTGTCACCATCTCCAGTCTTCTGTAGGAAATTTAGTGTGGCAAATTGATATGCTACCTGCTTATAAATCCAAGAAAAAAGTTTTATCTTCGCTTATTACACTAAGGAAGCTGAATTTAACCGTGTTTAATGCCAAGAGGAACTCGCCTATTGTCTCATGTAATCTTCAACCATAAAAAGGCGCAGAAAAACGTCATCTTTTCATGCATGGCTATCTTATCTTTCTTGTTCAGGGGAGATTGTTACACCATGAATTTTCAGCTCATTATCACCCTTGCAATCCTTCTCATCGTACCAGTCTTGTTCCTACTTTTGATTGATAAGAAAAAGAAGACCGGAGAAGCCAGGATTCTCCCTCCTGGTCCTAGGAAGTAGCCTCTGATTGGAAACCTACATCTACTCGGCTCCTCACCCCATCGCTCACTCATGCGCCTCTCAAAAGAATATGGACCAATCACGTTCCTCCAGCTCGGCTCAATCCGAGCTTTGGTGATCTCATCAGATGATGTGGCTAGGGAAGTAATCAAAACCCATGATCACGCCTTCTCTGGCAGACCAGCACTTCATGTCACCAAGAAGATATCATATAATTTTTCGGATGTTGGGTTCGGTGCCAACGGTGACTCCTGGAGAGGGCTTAGGAAAATAGTGAACTTAGAGCTATTCAGTATTAAGAGAGTTAAGGTATTTGAGTCAGTGAGGGGGGAAGAAGTGAAGCTCATGCTTGACACTATAGCTTCTTCTTTGGGTCGTGTCAATCTTAGTGAATTGGCACTTTGACTAGACAACATCGTGTGCTGGGCCACTTTTATAAAAAAATTGTCAGGCTCAAGCTGGCAGTGGTAAGAGCAAATTTCACGAGACCACCCGTGAAATACAAAACCTCATAGGATGGTTATGTTTTACTGATATCTTTCCATGGATGTCCTGGTTCAACAAGCTCAGTGGATTAGAAGCAAGGCTTGAGAAGAGCTTCAGGGATCTAGATGAGCTATACAACAAAGAGATCGAGGAGCACTGCAACCCAAGAAGGCCTAAACCCAATCATGAAGATCTTGTCAATGTGTTGCTTTGCTTACAGAAGGATCCAAATTAAGCAATCTCCCTTAGCAGCAATAACATAAAGGGTGCATTAACTGTATGCACTTCTTGCACCAAGTAGCCAATATCTTTTGATCTGTTCCTACTTTTTCCCTGTCCTTTTTCTAAGTTCCTGAGTATACCAATTTTTTGGGTGTTCAGGACATGTTCAATGCAGGTACTGATACCTCTTCTGCTGCTATAGTGTGGACAATGATGGACCTAATCAGGAATCCATGCATCATGAGAAAAGTACAAAAAGAGGTTCAAGAAACTGCAAAAGGGAAACTAAAGGTGAAAGAGAGTGACCTCCCGAAACTCATTTATCTAAGATCAGTAATTAAGGAGGTGCTGAGGCTCCACCCTCCTCTCCCTTTACTATTACCAAGAGCAACAATAGAAGCCTGCAAGATTAGGGGGTATGAAGTACCAGCTGGAATGAGTGTATTTTTCAACGTGGCGGCAATATCGACCGACCCTAAAAGCTGGGAACATCCAGAGTTTAAGCCTGAGAAATTTCTGAACAGTTCCATCGATTATAATGGGCAAAATTTTGAATTCCTGCCATTTGGTGCTGGCAAAAGGGCTGTCCTGGAATAAATTTCGGCATGGTAGTAGTGGAGCTCATGCTGGCGAATCTACTTCATCGTTTTGATTGGGAATTGCCTGAAGGTCTGAGCCTGAATGATATTGATGTGGAAGAAGCTTGTGGCTTTACTACTCAAAAGAGAACTCCTCTTTGCCTGGTGGCTACCCTGGCAAGTGATTGACAGCTTCCTGAAGCCAAAGTTTCGAGCAATCCTAGCCTTGTCAATAAATTTTAGAACAAAAGACACTTGTTGCGTCTATCGAGCATTCAAGTGCTTTGTGTCAGTTAAAATGCTTAATTTATGTGAATAACGCAAATGTCCTAGCATCTTGGCCACGTTAAAACGCTTAATGTATGTGAATATGCGTATGTCCTAGCATCTTGGCCATGTTTTAGGTTTTGCCTCCTCCAATTCGGCCATGTCGCATCTGCAGGGCAATTTAACCACGAAGACTTTTTAGTCCCTGGCTTTCTTTCCTCTGCGACGAACCTTGCAATTTCTTTTTTCTTCTTCCTAGCTACCTTTTGTGTATTTTCGTGGATTTCTAAACCCAACAAGGTAAGGACTTGCTGCATACCTTTTGTGTCATATGCTTTGAGCACCAATCTACTTGCTAAACAAACAAAGCTCCATGAAAGTCATTGAGTGGTCCGTGCTTAGCAGTTGAATGCTCTTAATCAAATTACAGTTCTCCTACAGTATAGACATGGACAAGAACACACCATGAGATATATTTTTATCTCTGAAATATGACCTTTCTTGAGGTAACGCAATGTCTGCTCAGGAAGGGGAAAAAAGGAAAGGAGGACTAGATAAGAAATTTTCAGTGTATCTGAAGAACTTTCATTCTGTTAAAGATAATTTTAGATGGAATAGGAAACGATAACACAAGTACTTAACTTGTTAAGTAAAGAAGCCTAATCCAAAATGCTCTTGTTGGAAAAGAAGTAGAGGAAACTCTAGATATGGCACATTTTTTTATGGCTTCTCTCTCATTTGCTGAGGAGAGAGAAAGTCCTCTGGAGATTTTTGACGGGAAAAGCTATTGCATTCGGCCGAACAATGCTTTCCATGGAAATCTATCTCTTGTCCATGATTTTCTAGCTAAATCTCTCCAAGATAATGGGGATTTGGCATTCTTCTGTCCCGAAGCATTGTTCGAGTTTTGTGAATGACAAGCAATTCCTCCTTCAATTGATTTGCGGGTGCACCAAGATTCTTCTGGTTCTCGTTCATGGAAGCAGATCCTTATTTAGCAGGATAACCCTAATCAATTGATCTAATTCTATGGACCAGAATTGATTAATGGAAGTAGAAGGGTTTGTATACCTTGAGCTGTGGTTGATGAGGGCTTAAAGAAATGGGATTCTGCATTGACTGGACAAATCTTGGGAAAAAACTCTGGGCTTTACAATGAGGACCATGAAGTATGATCCTTCGTCTCTGCAGCAGACGACACACTCAGGCAAGCCATGTCCTTCCATTCTGGGGGAGGAATTTCTTTTGAGATCTAAACTTTGGAAGCTTCAATCCTATGAAGAGTCTTTCTGCATGCAGAAATCGACAGTGCAATGGGCTAAATTGAGGGATCCAGACACTGCTTGTCTTCATAGAGCAGTAAAATCAAAAACATCCATGAGGACCCCCAGGAATCTCACTGATGATGAAGGGGAGGGGAAATAGAAGGGCATATAGATATGGTTCTGCTGCTATTGACTTGTATAAAGGCCTCTTGGGTACTTCAGATGAGCAATGTACACTCATCTCTGTATCTAATCTGAATGCTATAATGAATTTTAAGCAAGTAGACGATCTGCAGCGAAGTTTTGGTGGTGCCCATAACTCGGGAAGAAATTAAGGAAGCTCTATGGTCTATGAAAGGAGATAAGACCCCTGGTCCAGATGGTTCTACTGCTCATTTCTTTACATCTACTCGGTCCAATGCAGGGCCTTAGTTCCAAGAATGCTACTGCCAGGCATAAACAGTTATGGGCTAATTGGCACATCATGTGGAATGCGGATTGAAATAAGGGCATTTCCTTTTTGTAGGCTAGTCTTTAGTTGCTTTGCAGTCCAGTCATTTGACCTTTGTTACTGTTGCTTTTCCTAAGTTGAGATTGGTTTAGTCGAACTGATGTGAATATGGGCAGGTAGTCGGATTTATCCCCAAGTTTGGATTGAAGAATTGGAATGAAGCGAGTAACTTACACTTCTAGGAAAGAACAATACTCTAGGTATCACATAAAAGAGAAGCCGTTTGGTGTAGCTTTTCATACTAACTTTAACTATAAAAGGGAGTGAGGTAACTTTTATTTGGCAAACACCTTATAGTTATAATGCCTCCATTGTCGCAACAGATTTTAAGAAATTGCCCTATACTAGCTTATGAGTATTGCGGATTTAAGACATGTATCACTAAACACACTCCGAAGTTCCGGGTGAGCATAGTGTGCATTTTTTGCTTTTCCTTTTATTTTTCATTTGAAATTCAAAATTGATATTACATAAATACCTTGAATTGTCATTAGGGATGAGCAAGATGGACCGCCCAAACCGGAACCGGACCGGACTGACCGGTTTGGTCCGGTTCTCAGGAATATCGGTCATGTTCCCGGTTCCTAAAAGTGGAGCCAGTTTCCGGGCAGTCCGGTTCCTGGTTCTAGGGTGGGAACCGGACCGGACTGGACCGGATCGATAAATATATATTTTTCTAATTTTTTCATATATATAATATATAATATGTATGAAAAATATTTAATATTGGTCTCATTGAAATCGATTGTTCAATTTTTTCATATATTATATATATTTTTTCAATTTTTTCCACGGCCTTATGGGATCAAATTAGAACTACAAAGGAAAGAACGGAATAATCGGTTCCCGTTTCACCCCTAATTGTCGTGATATATAATTATTGACACTTTAAATTATATAAGATTCTTTCTGAATCATAGCAAGATGTAATTTCATTCCATATTTTATCAAAATTTTAGCAGGGCGTATTAACTTTTAAAGATGTCTCCAATACATCTTTTTATTGGAAATTTGGAGGAAGCTAGGAAAAAAAAAATAGGAAGAGGGGGAAAGTAATGGTGTGTTTGTCTTGCGGAAAATGAATGATTTGAAAAATATTATTGCTTATATCATTTCTGAAAATGAATGGATGATATGAAAATATTTAAATATAAGGCTCTGTTCATCTTTGGTTGAGCCATCATGTTTAGTAAAGTGTTTTCTAAATCATTCATTTTCCGTAAAATAAACAGAGCCCAAATGAAAAGAGAGAACAAAGTAGTTGAGAGCTATTGAGATTTATTGCAAAATTAGTTCAAGAAACATTCGAGATTATTTTTTTTTTTGGTTAAAACCGTTCGAGATTATTGATAAAAGTGTAAATCAACATTTAAACTAGCAAGTCATATTTAACGTAGAACGAGAACACGATATATGATTGGGCCAAGTTAAACCAAACCATGGTCGCTTTTTTCGATTCAATGGTTTGGTTTTGGTTCACATGCTTCTTAGCCAAACTACAATGATAAATCATTAGCTAAACCAAACCATTGTCGCTTTTTCAATTTAATGGTTTGGTTTTGGTTCACATGCTTTTAAGCCAAACTACAATGATAAATCATTAACTAAACCAAGCCATTGTGGCTTTTTCGATTCAATGGTTTGTTTTTGGTCCACATGCTTTTAAGCCAAACTACAATGCTAAATCATTAAAATCACTAACCTTTGGCTCGTTGTTCGATTATGGCAGTGTTCCAATTTTTCTCCCCTCAAGTTAACCCAAAAAAAAAAGGGGATTAAATCCAAAAAAAAAATACCAAATTTACCTTGAGTAACAATTCAGGTCTGAACTTTTTTTTATGTCATAAAAAATCATCAAATTTCATTTAAATTCCAAATCTGGCCTAAATAATTTGAAAATTTCACATTACGAGAGCTAGATTTGGGACTCGAGTAAAATTTGGTACTTTTTATTGAGACAAAAAAAAAAGTTCGGGCCAGAATTATCACTCAAGATAAAATTAGTGCTTTTTTTTTTGGAATTAGCCCAAAAAAAAAAGAGGTTAATTCCAATCTATACTACTTTACTACATAGATATTACAACTACATATTCCTTACTATAAACTACAACTAAAGTATACCCGAAAAAAAAAAAAACTACAACTAATGTATCACGTGGAAAGATCAATAAGAATGTGGCCATCAAAAACACTAAAGTACTAATTTTTTTTCTTTTTTATCATATGGTGTATAAGAAATTGGATTTGGTCATTTGATGGGCACTCGGATGTCATCTTCTTGATGATGTAAGTAAGTATAGATGGATGTTGGGTTTCTTCCACAATATGAACGGGGGGGCGGTGGGGGCGGTGGGTGTCATCGCCAATGATTTGAAGCCGGAGCAAACCAGCAATGGTAATGGACTGGATCTTTGTTTTTCTGCTGATAAAGTTTGGATCTTGAGCTCGAATGCAGCCGGATAGGGTCAGACCCATGTACACCAAATCGCGAATCATGGCCTGTATTTTAAATTCATCAGCATTATTCTCGGACGAAAAGCCTCGTCCTGGTGTCCCCACCCACCATGTCACAAGTGGAGTACGGTTGTCGACATCTTGCAAGAAAGAGGCCCCTCTTTCCCGTGTCCAGCGAAACTTCTTGGAATCACCCTCCTTCGCTTTTCCCCTCGTCTCGCCTCTCTCTCTCCCTCCTACGCGTTTCGACCCCTCTTCCGCTTTCAGATCCGATGAACTTCGCTGCCCCCGTAGAGACTTGACTCTCTCTTGACCCGTCAAGGATTCTGTATTCCTCTCCACAAGGTCAGAGTCAATTTGTTGTTTACTGTAAATTAATGGCAGCACGAGTTCCGTTTCCTTTGCTGTTTGCACTTTATTCTCTGCAAGCACCGAGAATTCGCTTCTGGGTCGCTCGGATTTGCGCTTAAAAGTGTGGAACTGTAAAGCCCTGATTATAATATGGAAGAGGGGATCAGCGAATATGCAGTAATGTCGCCTCTCGGCAACGTGGAGAAGTGGGAAAGTGTGCTCGCTTTTTGATATGGGGGGATAATTGCTTGATGGGTAGGACTAGAAACATTAGGCATTACTTTATTGTGGTATGAAAAAAGTACCTTGCCATTTGGAGAAGGAGCATGGCAAGAGGCCTTAGCGCGAAGAACTGAATTGTTCTTCGTCTTCGCCCTAGAGTGTTTTTCTCGATCCAATTTGTGTTTCCGCAGAAACTGTTCTCCTGCGAATGCATCTCTGTTATAACTTGGCTTATCTGAAAGTTGAGCATGTATGTAGACGGGTGAAGCAATGTCCGTTGGCTATCAGATAGATTTCTGTTGCATTTCCAGAGGGAAACTAGTCTTGCTTCTTGATGTTCATTAGAGGCACAGACAGTAATTGGTCATGAAAATCTGAAGATGCCGTGAATCTTGAAATCCTTATATAAAACTGTAAATTATGTGGATATTTGTCCATCTGTTGTTGTCAAGGCAAAACTATTTCCTGGATTACCGTGTTAATGTTTGGTTATGTCTTTTTCGTATGCTGAAGGAATTTCATTTCAAATTCAGACTTTCTATTCTCTGTCACTGGAGTTTTATCAAGGGTCACAAACCTTGTTATAATTGAAACTTGGGGCATGTTGCAGGAGATTCATATTTTGTGAGGAGTTCATGGGTTCTTTTTTGTCAAAACATGGAAGAACGAGACAACCTTCTCCATTTGCCTCAAGTTCACAGTCATGGAATCATCAGAGCTATCCATATCCAGCATATCCTCAACCTGAACAGGACTATGCGCCACATCCTAACTACAAACCTTCACCACCTCCTCCAAGCTACAGTGGTAACGCTTCGCATTCAAAGAGGAAGCTTGAAAGGAAATTCTCAAAAATTAATGATGATTATACTACCCTGGAACAGGTCGGATACATTTTCAACTCCACTATATTTTTTATCTAGTCTAACTCTTATGAAAGTAGTGGAATGTCGTATTGACTTGGAGTAGCATTTAAAGTGAAATTGTTACATGCGAGCTCACTTTTGGTGTTCTTCCATTCATTGCTTTTCTTTCTAGATTTTACTCACAAGGATAGAATATTTTTCTCAGGTTACGGATGCCTTGGCACGTGCTGGCTTGGAGTCTTCAAACCTGATTGTTGGTATTGATTTCACAAAAAGCAATGAATGGACAGGTTTGGTCATATACGTACAAAAATATCATTTTAGGGTTTTGGGGCTAGGAGATTGATTTGCTTCTGTAATAGGTGCAAGGTCATTCAACCGGAGAAGCCTGCATCACATTGGAGATGGTCAAAATCCCTATGAACAGGCAATAGCAATAATTGGGAAAACACTGTCATCTTTCGATGAAGACAACCTAATTCCCTGTTTCGGATTTGGAGATGGTATCATTTTTGAAATATTAATTTATATTTTAGCTAGTTAAATTTGTTGATGAGATCCTTAGTTCTGTGCTGGCAGCCTCAACTCATGATCAAGAAGTTTTTAGTTTCTATCCTGATGAGAGATTTTGTAACGGATTTGAAGAGGTTTTGACACGTTATAGAGAATTGGTACCTCAACTACGACTCGCGGGTTGGCAATTCTCTCTCTCTCCCTCTCCATTGCCTTTAGTAAAATATTCGGCTTACCTACCCAATTTTCTCAATGGCAGGCCCAACTTCATTTGCTCCCATAATTGAAATGGCCATTACAATAGTTGAGGAAAGTGGTGGCCAGTACCATGTGCTAGTAATAATTGCTGATGGGCAGGTACGTAGTCTGTATTTTGTACTTTGGATTTAAATATGGAGATTGGCTTCACTAAGAGAATTGTCACAAGTGGTGCATTCCATTTAAGCTTACTGTTTCGAAGGCAACTTATAAGCCGAGAAGCTTTTCTCGTGAATTGACAGACGTTTTAAGACTTTTCTGGGTATATTCACTGTCCACTGAATTGAATTATTGCCACTCGAGAACCTTTTTTTGCCAAATTGCAACCCAGCATTTACCGCCTGATCGGAGTGTTTTACTGAGATGCCAGTGCAGCTCTGTTCAGCATTCTCCTGATACAAATTACGACTCTTAAGTTCATGCAAAAGCCATGCTGTTTTCTACAAGTTGTGCTTGAATGTTGAGCAACAGATCTTGCTCTTGGGGTGGACATTTGATACCAAAATATGCAGAAGAATGCCATGAAGCAGAAAACATTTCATTTCATTAGTTTGAGAACACAGGCTACTTGTTCTTGCGGATAATTTCTTAGTTAGAACTCTAACAATGTCTATTATCCATGTACTCTTAAAGGTGACAAGAAGTGTTGATACCGGTCGTGACCAGCTAAGCCCGCAGGAGAGAAGTACTGTCGAAGCAATAGTCAAAGCAAGGTATTTGTTGCTGCTGAGTGTGGCTTCCTTAGTCACTTATTAGTCCGCTATTGGTTTTCTAAGGTGCCTTGTTTTGGACAGTGACTATCCCCTGTCAATTATACTAGTTGGCGTTGGTGATGGGCCGTGGGACATGATGAAAGAATTTGATGATAACATTCCTGCCCGGGCCTTTGATAATTTCCAGGCAAGTATCTTGCTAGTTCCATTCATGTTTTCCTTAGCATATTCTTCTACACCTTATACTCATGTTGTCCTTTGTTTTGGTGCATATTTCTGAAGTTTGACTTTGTTCCTTTGTAGTTTGTCAATTTCACAGAAATAATGTCAAAGAATATGGACAGATCCAGAAAAGAAGCAGAGTTCGCTCTTGCAGCTTTGATGGAAATACCTTCCCAGTATAGAGCAACACTGGAGCTGAGTATTTTGGGGTAATGGGATAATATTCGTAAAATTAAGTTATGAATCTTACTGCCATTAGTACAATGATTCTTTCGCAGTCTGCCCTTTTGTTAGTTCATGTAAATTCCGTTTAATCTAGCAGTTCTCGAAGGGGAAAAGTGATAGACCGGGTATCTCTCCCTCCTCCTCAATACGGTGCAGCTTCTTTGGGCACCTCGAAAGCTTCACGATCAAGCAGTTTTCGACCAAGCGCACCTTCTGCTAGACATGATACGTTTGTTGGCACAACTGCTTCAAGTTCTGCTGTGTCTGATAATCATGTAATTCATCCTTCATCTTCTATTATGGTGACTAACGCCTCTATGGTCGCTTGTCTGTATTCATGCCAAGATATGATCTTGTTGCAATGATTCTCTGATTGTGGACCTTTTTGAGGGTATATCGTAAGATTATCAATCACTAGACGATGCTAATGGGGTGCGGATCCATATAAGATCAATGTAATACATAGCCAATCGTTGAGGAGAATCATCCACAGTTTTCTAATATCTTTATCTTCATTTCAGGATTGTCCAATTTGCCTGACCAATCAAAAGGATATGGCTTTCAATTGTGGTCATCAGGTAATTTGTTTGTTTCCTGAATTCCCTCCTTGGCCTGCTTTCCAGTTTCCACCGTGCATTTGCATTCTCTGTTACTTTTGTTAGAAATTTCAGCAAATGCATTTGAAAGCTAAGAATTTATTTGCAGACCTGCTGCGAGTGTGGACAAGATCTGGAGTCATGCCCCATTTGTCGTTGTTTCATCGAAACTAGAATAAAGCTCTACTAAAGGAAGATCCACTGCTTTTATCAAGGTTTTTTGCCAGCACACGTTTGTTTCATATCCCAAATTTATCTTCTTTCATGCTCATTGGTGAGAACTTAGAAGTTTGTTGCCATTTTTAGGCAGATGCTATAGCGGACATCTCATAACACCGACAATAATGCAATCCCCAGTTGTCCACTGTACATACCTCATGGAATTGTCCCGTTCGTGATCTGAAGGACTCTAAGGAAGTTCCAGGTAGCTTGAGAACGGCTCGGATTCAGTCGGGCAGTACTTGCTTCAACAGGGAAGATAGAACCATCACTCACTCGAATAGATGAAATAACCCTTTTCGATTGTCTCCTTGTTCTGTTTCTTGTATGAATGTGATTATGGTTGAATTGTCCCATATCCCTACTCGACGATATCAGTTGTCATTTTATCAAGTAATTATTTGGCATCGGTGTCGATTCTTTCTTTCCTTCCTGTTATTTTGTTTTGGCTTACGGTCTTTTTGAACTTGGTGTGTGCGTGCGTGACTCTGAAGACGCATAGGAAGGAGCGAGGCACAAAGAGTGTTTCCGTTACCGCCTGCCTGTGTGTGACAATCTTTCCCAAGTTTTGCGTACCAGACGCAATCCCAAAATGCATGAGTTCCTACTCAGTCGGACCAAATCGCAAACGTTCATGTATAAATGGATTGCTATGTTTTTACTTTACGAGAACTCCTAAAACACTGCTAGTTGCTACTATTATGGCAGCTCGAAACCATGTATGCCTCCTCGTCGAATTGATGATCATTGCCATTGCTTCGCTCAAACTAGCCACGTTTTGCCGAGCAAAGGAGGGGCAATGGCAACTTCTCTTGAACAATACAGGGGTGGTGGCTATGCACATGGCGGTGACTCACCTCAATACCGTCATTATGTTCGACCAAACGGGTGCCGGCCCATCCAGCTACCGTCTCCGTAGGAGCTTCACGAGTGGAAGAAGGTGTACGGATGATTCTTCTGATGAGTCCTGCTACGCTCACTCTATCGAATACGACATTTCTAGCAATTACATTCGAGCTATGAGGCTTGAGACCGATCCTTGGTGTTCCTCGGGTTCTTTCTTGAGCAATGGAACACTTCTTCAAACCGGTGGATATGGCAACGGCTCTCGAAGAATCCGTTATTTCAGGCCTTGTTGGGATGGCCGGTGTGATTGGGTGCAATCGAAGATATCGATGTCCTCTAGAAGATGGTATTCTTCCAATCAAATACTCCCCGAGGACGATCGGGTCCTCATAGCAGGCGGAAGAAGAGTCTTCTCCTACGAATTCGTACCAAAGTTGTCGTCGACGGACGAATCTCATGATCTTCCCTTCTTGCACCAAACGTATGACAGAAATGGAGGAGGAAACAATCTATATCCCTTCCTTCACCTTTCCTCAGACGGCAACTTGTTTATTTTCGCCAACCGAGATTCAATCCTCTTCAACTATAAACAAAACAAGGTGATCAAAACTTTCCCCCGGATGCCTGGAAAAGGATCGAGGAGCTACCCAAGCTCAGGTTCATCGGTGATCCTCCCGTTGGAGCACGGCCACAAATTCCGCAAGGTGGAAGTGATGGTGTGTGGGGGAGCAGCACCAGGAGCTCATAGAGCGGCGGGAAGGGGCAAGTTCTTGAAGGGACTAAAAAGCTGCGGTAGAATGGAGATCACGGGAAACAAGCACAAGTGGAAGATGGAAAACATGCCGGGGCCACGCCTTATGAACGACATGATAATCCTTCCCACGGGCCACATCCTAATCGTCAACGGAGCTCGGCGAGGTAGCGCCGGTTGGAACAATGCGGCGGGTCCTTCCCTCGTGCCGTACCTCTACAAGCCAAAGAAGGCACTCGGAAGAAGGTTTTCAATGCTCAAGTCCACCAAAATAGCAAGACTTTATCACTCCTCTGCAAGTCTCCTCCCTGATGGGAGGATTTTGGTTGCTGGCGGGAATCCGAACCAGCAATACGTGTTTGAAAACGTGACTTACCCTACCGAACTCAGGTTACAAGCGTTTATGCCGCACTACATGGACAGAAGATACCACAAATACCGGCCGGAAAATGTCACGATAGAAACCCAAGGCGATCGCAGTGTCAAGTACGGTGAAGACTTCACGGTTCGATTCTGGCTGGGGAGGAGTTCAAGCAAAGTGGTTGAGTTTAGCATCTATGCGCCCCCCTTCACGACGCATTCCTTATCGATGAATCAGAGGCTGCTCAAACTCTTGAGTAAGAACACGGTTAGAGATGCGGCGAAGGGGTGGGTGAATGTCACCGTCGAAGCCCCTCCATCTCCTAATGTTGCGCCGCCAGGCTATTACATGCTCACAGTCGTTAATGGAGGAATTCCTAGCATATCTCAGTGGATCAGATTCATGCATGCTTAGAAGTTCTCTTAAAACTATCGCAGCAATACATGTCTAGACAAATAAATGCCACTTAATAAGCTCAAACAAAAATGAATATATACATATTCATATATATTTGATAAGTAGGAAATTATTATTGCAACAAATACACTAACAGTGGACTAATCCTGCATACAAGCCCCCACAGAAATCTATTTCTCACCATTAGTGAGCAAAAGCTGTAATTTCGCCTGATGATCATTTGTCGTTGACTTGGAACAGTGGTTCTACACTATTAGACTAGGATGTATTGTGTACTTTCTGGTTTCCTTTCAGAGCCGACTCCATTGGATCGCAAATTCTATTGGGGAAATCACTGTCTTTTTAAGACAGCATCGTTGATACGCCCTACCCGGAAATTTCTCTCTTTTCTTTGGATCGTCACGACAGGATGACTACAGAAAATCACTTTTTTTCAGGCCTCTCGGTCACTCTATACACACTATATGAAGCTTGAATCCAGAGACAATACACAGTTGCTATCACATGGACAACAACGTCCCAATGATATAAACAGTAAAATATTTATATGAGCTACGTACGATTCATGTATCGGCGAAAAAACTGTACGTGCGTGTGTTGTCAATGATCAATCGAACCGCTGCTGTTGTGGCAGCCACCGCAAGCAACAGGAACACAACCACGTTGAAACAATGCCACACCCTCGTCTCAATTCTTGCTGTTTTTCCCTTCACCTGCTTAAAAATTTAAAAAGTCATTATCGATCCTTTTGGTTTTGCAGTGATTCATGGGTGATGAATTTACCTTGAGAAAAATCAAGCTGGGAAACACAAAAGTCAAGGGAATGAGCGTGAAGGAGCCGAAGAAGTTGACAAAGTCTCCCATGAACGGAAAAGCAGCGGTCATGAAGGTATTCATTGCGAAAAGTGAAGCTCGCAAGAGCAATCGTCGTTTTAGATTCGTTGCCGAGTTCATGCTCTCCTCTAATTTCAGGAACTTGGTGTCTAAGGTCTCGTGAATCGGTGCCACAAAGATCTAGTAGTCATTGAAACAGACGTACTTCAGATGATGAACAGTTCACATACCAAGATTCAGAAAGAAATTCCGAAGAAACAAAGCAATTTCTCTGATTGTCATCGAATTAGTTGTCGCATAGTCTGATCTTCTATTGTCATAATATTGATGGAATCATTTTTAAGGATGGTCCACAAGTCCACGGACATATTCTTTCACTTGTAACTACTTATATTTGGAGTACGAGGGAACCATGTTTACTCACATACAGTTATACGTGTGCACTATGAAGCCTTGGAAAAATACTTAACATGCGAAAGAACGGCCGTTCCGTCTTTCAACCCAACCTACATACCTTTTCGGTCAGGAACGGGCTTGAACAACAATTAGGCTCAATCTGCCCGATAGGGAGCAAGCAGAAGTTTAGTTAGGAGAAGCATCTTACATGTTGGGAGATTATGGATTGGAGGAAGACGGATGAGTTGATGAAAACCTTCACCCATTTGGGCCCGCTAAGCTCTTCGGGGAGGTACTCGGACACGTCAGACCCGTACGCCCAATAACCGGCCACAGTCACGCCGTAGTACACTATGAGTCCCACTGTGTATTGCAAGCCCAAGGCCTTCCTCATGTTCTTCACCGCCGGCTTGCGAAGAGTTGACTGCGTTATTCACATTCCTTTTTTCATATGTACATAATGACAGTGATAAATTATTCGTGTATGAACTGAATGCTAAACTTGAGGCATCTACCTGAATCTCTAGTAATAAACCAGCGGTATTGCACACAATAGTGGCTGAAACCGCACCTAGTGCACCGAAGGCTTGGCCGACTTTGCTTCCTTTGAGATCGTAGTTTTTGTTCTTATCGGATTTCCCTATCGAAAACGGTTAACATTACTTTTAGACAACTCTCATTATAGATACGGCACTTATTGCACTTTTGTACATGGCTGTCCAAATCCATTCTGGCTGTATGGTGTGGAAAAACTAGTTGAATAAGGAAACATTCCTACCGTCTTTGATGACCACCATCAAGAGAAGTCCAATGAAGGTGAAAGTGAGGACGGTAGAGACGCCCAGCCAACTTCTCGTGGCTGACATGGTTGGGATCAGATAAGAAAACGTGAAATATGCTGCTCCTGTCATGCCTATGTAATATTGAAGCCTCAGGGGAGTTTCACTGAATTCTGAATTTATCTCCTGTCAATTTTTTTCAAGAGACGTTACGGATATTCTTATAAATACGTGAAGTTGTAGTCGAAATGCATGTAAAACAGATTACAAAGAAAGGGTTTGATTAATCTTAGTTCAGCATCACATGCCTTGAGAGCTCTCCCTCCCAGAAGAATGAAACCCATGTTCCCAAGCAGCAGGGTAAAAAATTGGAAAACCCAAGTGATGTAATACATTTTCCTACCTTCACAAAATGAAAACGAGGAGAGTGTAGAAATTATATGATCAAAAGAATAAATTAGCAAAAGAAAACTCTTTCGGCTTGGAGCTAAAATTGTCAAGAGAAAAGAGAGACCGAAAAGGTAGCCCATGATGTCTCGGTAGCGGATGAAGCGGTGGCCATTGATGAAGTGAAACGCTGCCAAGAGCCAATTAGCATATGCAGTGTACAGTCCCACAAGACTTAGGCAAATGATGCCCCATGTCCAACCCAAAGGCACCAACATGAGGTTCGAGAAGCTCAGTATGTATCCACAGTTGAAGCCCGTCACCAACAGCAAACCTACTTGAAGCCATGAGTCTGCAAAATTATAAGTTTAACCTTATTCTTAGCTAAAGAAAATTCATGCAAAACGTGCAGAAGATGACACTTTCGAGATCGCATTGCAGAATGATGGAAAAATGACCGTGGTCAGTGGTGTGAGCAGAGAGAGAGGCATATTGTTGATGATGATCCTGGGCATGTTCATTCACTTGGGCTGGCTCTAGGCTCGGAGCTTCCATGGCTTCCCCAGTTGATGGCGTTACTATCATGCATCTCTATGCAAGACAAGATGCCATTTTTTATCATGAGGGTACATTCTCAAGCTTGTCATGAAAATTGTTGTTTCCACAAAGTCAAATAAGTACGACACGGATAGAAGCTCATACACGGCTAGAACGAGCCACCGGTAGAGTGGTTGTTGGAGAACTTGGACATTTGGGGCATCAACGAAAGATATCACTCCCCCCGCCCCCCAAGAATGACTAGTCCCCTTTATTGGTCGCTATTATTGATTGGAGTGGTCCCTTCATTAATCACTCTTTTTGTCGCCAGGTATATGGGAGCAAGAAAAGATTGATGGCCATCTTCAACTTGGTGACGGCATTACAGGCGGACTTAGTTTTACTAGGTAATGATGCTCGAGAGAAGTTGGAAGTAATTGTGGCCACTATCAGATGATGCTTGGCTGCATCGTCTAAGCAACAAAAAGGCCATCAAAGATTCTTTCTTATGTTACCAGGGAAATCTCTTTCAGACAGACAAGAATCCTTACTGTGTTATAAGCAGTAGCAAAGCTCAGGTGGACGCAAGAAGAACCAAGCAAAGAGCCGGTGAGGGCCAGAATGGAGTTACCGTACGCGGTGCCTAATCGCTTATGAAGCCCTTTGCTAGGATCAGAACGAGCGAGGAACGAGCGATCACAAGGCTCCGCTGAAGCGCTATCGCTCGGCATGTAGTTAGCTCGAAACATGTTCATACAAGAGTTGATATTGAGCACGTAGCACGATATTAGTTTACGTTTCTCTTCAATACGGGTTTGCAATTTTCAGTAGAAAAACTTGGGCCTGAATCTGGTAGAGCCGGCCCGATATAATGACCTGGGCCTGATGGTGGTTTAGTATTAATTATGCAGTCGGCCCTGGCCCAGTCGCCAACATTACCATCAAGAGACTGTTCTGGATAATTGTAACATCAAACAGCACACCTCTTCAAAAGCAAAGAAACAAAGAAAAATGAAACTTCAGACACCAACTTCGACATTACCTTTCGATTCTAGCGCGTTCCTTTTAATTAAAATAACAAGATTACCAAAAACGAGTCTTCTGAGGGCATTTAATAGACATGTTTGACCAAAAAGCGTTTTCGTAGCAAGTTTTTACGAGCGCTTATTAAGATCATAAGGAAGCTCTACAATGACCATTACATGTGTTTCATTCTCTTCGATATTTTCTTTAATTGCATTTTATGAAGTCGTAGTAGAGTAATCAATCTGTTGTGTTATCATCCCAGTGGAATCTCGAATCGGAGGAAGCGGGGCTCATTCACTTCAAGCGGATGAATTCGTGGGACATAAAGTCCAAAGGGGAGGTGGCTTTCTTCGGGGGCTCGAGAGATGGAATAGATAGGACCCCACGAGTTTTGAAATCGACACCAGGGAATTCACACGAAAGGGAACGAGACTCATTAAGAGCATCAATGGCAGATCGGAACGCCTTGCCTACAAAGGCATCGGAATCTCATATTGACATATTGCATCCACTTAGGCTCCATTTGTTTCGCATGTACATAATGAATTTGGAAAATATTATTCCTAAAAATAATAGTTTGTATCGCTTATAGAAATGAATGAACAAAAAATATTTTTCTTGTCAACGAAAATATTTAGACATAAATAGTTGTGGATAATGAAAAAAAAAATTCCATTAACTAATTATTTCAATTTATATAAGCGATTATTTTTAAAAATATATTTTCCAAATGGAAAAATGACACAAGTAGTCCCTAAACTTTGAACTAATGTGCAATGTGGTCCCTGAATTTTTAATTTGTTCAATGTGATTTCTGAACTTTGACCTAATGTACAGTGTGGTCCCTGAACTTTTAATTTGTTCAATATGGCCCCTGAACTTTTGGTACATGTTCAATTTAGTCCATGAACTATATAAAGATGTTTAATGTAGCCCTTTCATTAATTCAAGATCAGGGACTACATACAATATTTTCATATAGTTCGAGGATTACATTGAAAATGTACCAAAAGTCCATGGGTCACATTAAACAAATTAAAAATCTATGGATCATATTGTACATTAGGCTAAATTTCAGAAATCATATTAAACAAATTAAAAGTTCAAGGACCACATTTGTACGTTAGGTCAAAGTTCAGAAACCATTTATGTTATTATTTCTTTCCAAATCTTTTTTTTTTTCGCGAAACAAATGGAGCGTAAATACTTTAATATTCTCCTTATGCATAGGCTGGATTTTGGTCGAAAAGTTGTGAAAATTGGGGAAGTATTTGAACTCGAGACTTATCTGATATCTCCTCATATTTCGCAGGAGTTAACTGTCTAGAAGCACCTTGACCTTGCCATGAATATTTCTTCATTTGATTGGATAAGAGAAAGAGATTCAAGCCATCCGAGTCAGCACCACGTCAGTTGGCCCGTGGAGAAAGCTCTGGAGATTTGTGCCCTAAAGTCCAACCTCTATATCTATATCTAGTGGCCGACTTCCATCCCCCCCATACTTTATTCTATTCAATGGAACAAATATAAACTATCAAACCCTAAAGACTGCCCTTCCATGGCTCCAATGCCTCAAATTCGGCTTGTTTTATTTCATGAACATTCGAGAAAGCAGTTGATCAATTTGATTCCAACTCTCTTTCTCCCTTTTTGTCTAGGTGTTATGGTTATCGATTGGCATGACTAACACTTACATATGGATATTGACCGGATAATTATCAAATCGGGCCTAAACATATTGTGCGGATATCAGTTCAGCCATTCAATTTTGTCGACGTGGGTCACAGCACTCTGTGTGAAATTCCAATGTAATCCTTCCAAAAAAACGCAGACGTGGTGTGGGGTGATCGTCGGCCGTCCTATATGGCACGTTGAAACAAATACCTTTACTCAAAACAACATTCCACGCAAATTGCCACTTCAGCGATTTTGGGAAACAATTGACCAGAAGGACTATACCGGACTTTCGTGTAATGTTTTAGGACTACATTGATAAAATTTTAGGATTGAATTGGCCATTTTCCCTCGTATTAACAAAAAAATGATTATTTTCTTGTAATTAACTTGGCAAAAGATGATGGTCTATTTGGGTTAGGGATATCCCACGAATAAAATCGAAAGACTTAAATTATATTTTCACTAAAATACTTGAGAGGATAGACAGCATCAGATCTAGGATTGGAATCTAAGATACATCCACAAGTTAGATGGTATTCAACAACTTTCTGCTCATGCTTGGTTGAATTTCAAAAAGCAACCGCCGAAATATGTTGACTTGAATTATTTCACGTGGTGAGATGGGTAATTGGTACACTCAACCAATGATACAGCACGTTAATGTCACAGTCCTGGAATTCGCCCAAGAACATTCTATAAATAGCCATGCCCGTCATCAGCTGATGAGATGAAACTTTCGCGAACGGTTTGACATGATTGCTCATCACCTCCATTTCATCGGTCAAAAAAGCCTTTGCTGACCTCTTGTGAATCTGCTAAAGGAAGTTATAAACGTAGACACAAGCTTATCATGACGATCAAGGGCGCGCCCATCATCAAGAATGGTTGCCTCTCGGTCAGAGGCAAGGCGGTCTTGACCGGAGTCCCGCAGAATGTTGCCTTCAAACCGGTCGGAACAGGGTCGGGTTTCTTGGGCGCCACGTCAGCAGCTCCGAGTTCCCGCCATGTTTTCAGCCTTGGAGTTCTTGAGTTAGTTCATGTTCCTCAGTAGACAGCATTTCAGTCTCTTTCTGTTTTGTTTACTTGGAATTGTTGTTGATGTCTCTGCTTTCATGGTTTTCTGGAATTCCATTTTGTTTATGGGTCTTCCACGAATTTTGTCAGTCTCTTGTTCTTACCAGAATTTAGTTCGAAAAGGATTGACTCCAATGTGTTTTCTTGATCTGAAGTTCCGATCTTTCTGCTTTCTTGATTTATGGATTCTTGAATTTTCAGTTGACTTAATTTCTATGTGTTTCCGCATAGATTGGTTATCGTTCTAAGAATCTAAAGTGATCATGTTTGTGTTTCAAGCTTAATGTTTTTGATATGTTTGAATGCCTGGTCAACTTTCTGGATGGATTTGGTGGAATCATGCATTTCTGGCTCTTGTTCCTAGATGTCCCCACGAAGATGGATCACAAGAGGACATGAATCAACAAATTCATCTATTTAATTATCCCAGGTTGTTGTAGCTTTTGGTTAATCTGCGGATTATTGCAGGGGATTCAAGTTCTTGTGTCTCTTTAGAGCCAAAATCTGGTGGATGATACCTCGGGTTGGTGAATCTGCTAATGAAATTCCCATTGAAACCCAAATGCTTCTCTTAGAAGCAAGACGGGGATCCGCTTTGGATGATGGAGTATCGGTGAAACAAAACTCTGAATTCACATTTTACATCCTAGCCCTGCCTGTCTTGGATGGGCCGTTCCGCACGAGTCTGCAGGGAAATGCCGCGAATGAGCTCCAGTTCTGTGCTGAAAGTGGTAGGAATTAGCGGCTTATGCTTTTTATCAATTGCCTCTGGTTCTGGCCTCAGCATTTTGATCTAAGACTTGGCTTCTCTTCCTTCTCAATGCTTCAGGCGACGTCAATGTGACGACAACTGAAGTACCCGAGGCAGTATTCATCAACTGTGGAGATAACCCGTTTGATCTCATCAAAGATTCAACCAAGTATGCTTTGTTCTATCCACCATATTGGTTCTCTCTCTACTTCTTTCTTGATGGACATTTTTAACATTTTAATGCACTCGGATACAGGATTCTGGCGAAGCATAAGGGTACTTTCAGCCACATCGACGATAAAACGGTAAGGAACTTCTTTAATTACTTTTAACTGCACTACCAAGATAATGACTCCGCCTGCTGACTTTCTTTCGATATGATGTCGGTAGATCCCCCCACACCTTGATTGGTTTGGATGGTGCACATGGGATGCTTTCTACTCCGAAGTCAATCCCAGAGGAATCAAAGAAGGCCTCCAAAGGTGCAATGCAAATGCCAAGCCACATTTCAGTTTTGAATGTGGAAGAAGGCAAATTTTTATTTTTATTTTTTGGTCGGAGGAAGAAGTCAAAATTAACTGACTTTTAATGTATAAAAACACTGAGCAGCAGTAATTACTTGTATGCAGTTTCTTGGAGGGAGGCTGTTCGCCGAGATTTTTGATCATCGATGATGGTTGGCAAGACACAACAAATGAATTTTACAAGGACGGAAAGCTGATTGTTGAAGGAATGCAGTAAGTTCGCGATTTTCTTCCACCAGATTGATTCTTCCAAAACCTTGTAATGCCTCTACTTATTCAAATCACCCCCATGTTCTCTTCTGCCATCGATGATTCAGGTTTGCCACCAGATTGGTTGATATCAAAGAGAACAAGAAATTTAGAAGCTCGGTCTCAGAGGATTCCTGCACTGATTTGCACGAGCTGATTGATTTTGTCAAACAGAAATACGGACTGAAGTAAGACCATGGAGCCTCAACAATTTATCATATGTATAATCAGCTGTCATGTCGTTACTTCAAAATTCAAACTTTCTCAAGCTTGTCGTGCCTTGAACTCGATGATTTTATTGTGCAGTTATGTCTACCTGTGGCATGCATTAGCTGGTTACTGGGGAGGAGTGCACCCAACATCTGAGAAAATGAAGAAGTACAACCCGAAGTTGGTATATCCAATTCAATCACCTGGTAACCTTGGTAACCTTCGAGACATCGTTATGGACAGCTTGGAGAAATATGGAGTTGGAGTAATAGATCCTGAGAAAATATATGACTTTTACAATGACCTCCACGGTTATTTGGCACGCTGTGGTGTTGATGGAGTAAAGGTGGATGTTCAAAATCTCATTGAAACCATGGGCAATGGGTATGGAGGACGGGTTACATTGACTAGACAATATCAAGAAGCTCTCGAGCAATCTACAGAGAGGAACTTCAAAGAAAACAACCTAATCTGCTGCATGAGTCATAATACGGACTCTATCTACAGGTACTTCCTTTTGCTCGTTATCTTCTTTTGCCAATGTCCTTATAGTAAGGTCGAAATGCCATTTCATAAGGCTTTACTGTTTGTTGAGGTCAGTTCCAAGAAGAGTGCAGTTGCGAGAGCATCAGAGGATTTCATGCCACGAGAGCAGACATTTCAGACTTTACATGTTGCCTCTGTCGCGTATAATGGCCTTCTTCTCGGAGAGATATTTGTGCCAGATTGGGACATGTTCCTTGTACGGTTCCTTGTATTCGCGGATTTTCAACTCACTACTGCATGATTTCTCTTATTCACTAGCCAAGGGCTAGTGTCTTCAGCATTTGCTGCAGAACTTTACTTTAGAGACAACATATGCTAAGTCCATTAACTGGTTCTTTTCAGAGCAAACATGAAACCGCCGAGTTTCATGGCGCAGCAAGAGCATTGGGTGGCTGTGCCGTTTATGTCAGGTAGCTATTGTTCATGAATGGATTATGAGTTCAAATAACATGTGAAAACTCCAAGCACCCATAGTATAGCAACTTTCTTAAGTAGAGAGACATTCTTACAATGAAACTTGGGTTGTGTAACAGTGACAAACCCGCCAACCATGACTTCAACATCCTGAAGAAGCTGGTTTTGCAGGATGGTTCTGTCCTAAGAGCTAGATATGCTGGCCGGCCTACTCGTGACTGTCTCTTTGAAGATCCTGTCATGGATGGCAAAAGGTAAATATGCTTTCCACTCGGCATTGCCCTTGAAGATCAAGAAATAATCCCTGTGAATTAATCTTCCATTGACTATGCTTTGATCTTCTGCAGTTTGCTCAAGATATGGAACGTGAACAAGTTAACAGGCATAATTGGTGTATTTAATTGCCAAGGAGCAGGAAGTTGGCCTTTGAAACAGGATTTACAAGATAAGTCATTATCACCACCCACTAAGCTTCCTCCCATCTCAGGATGCATCAGTCCTGCCGATGTTGAATTTCTTGAAGAAATTGTAGGTGAAAACTGGGATGGAGACTGCGCGGTGTATGCGTTCAACAAAGGTGAACTTCAGATTCGCTTGCTTCTTTCCACCAGACTTCACTATTTGTGCGTAAGCTTCAATTCACAGAGTCTGAAATGTTCTTATCGCAGGATCACTCTCCAGATTGTCAAAGAGAGGAACTCTTGAAGTTTCCTTGAAGACTCTGGAGTGTGAAATATACACAATATCACCAATAAGGGTAATTGTTCTCACCTTTTTCTATTTTGCTCCTGATTTTTCCATCATTAGGGCATTCCTTTCCCTCTTTGGTTTATTATACTCATGCAGGGAAAGCAAATTGTTCTTAACAGGTTTTCCTTGAGAATATTCACTTTGCTCCAATAGGCTTGCTGGACATGTACAACTCAGGAGGAGCAGTACAAGCTATAAAATGCACCACCATACTATCAGAGGGCATAATAACTGTAAAAGGTCGAGGATGCGGCCGATTCGGATTCTATACAACCTCGAAGCCAAAGTGCTGTAAAGTGGACACCAAGGAAGTGGAATTCACTTACAATGCTGAAGATAATATGTTGACAGTAAATCTTCCAGAAGAATGTAAACTAAGGGATATTGAAATTGATTACTGAGGATAAGCTGCATTAAAATGTAACGGTAAGAAGAAGAATGTAGATATTGTATTCATTATTGACAAGTTGTGTCAGTTTCCAAGAATGAGTTGGATGTCCGCACTTCATTTGTATCTTTAAAACTGTAATTCGCAAAGAGTCCGTTCAAGCTTATATGTCCCTCATCTCATTTTCATTGAACAATAAAAATAGAAATTTTATTACGGCGACATTGCAGATTTGAGTCTCTTTATTGCCTTGACTTTCTCTGTACTGATCTGATCACACTGCGGCACACGATGCAGTGCTGCATGACAATCTCAAGCTCCAGCAACGATTATCCTGCTGTTCAAGCAGTCATATTCTTTGGAATCAGCTAGCTTGACTAGATTCTAGAGATTTCTCCACATGTATGCCTAGGCATTGTCATGTCCTAGCTTCTTTTCAAGGCGGCGCGCTAGGCTTCAAGTGAGATACGCGCTTGATATTCCTCTCGGTGATGTTCATAGAACAATCAGGGCTTGCCTTTGTTTTGAAAGCAACTTATTTTAGTCCAGCCGTTCTCTAAAGTCTCCTTCTCTTCTTTGCTTAGAAGAGAAGGCCATCCAGGACTAATTTTGCATACCGGACCGTATCCTGCATAAATAACAGCATGTTTCCTCAACTCTTTCAAGAAGAGAAGAAGTAAAACCTGGTTTTGCCGAATAAAATTTAATACTTGCACTCAAGGCAGATGCATTGCAAGATTGAAACAGTTGGGTCGACTTCCCTCAGGATCTTGAGTCTTGATATATATTATCCGCAGAATGCATACCTTTACAGGCACCAGGCATCCCAGTAGTATTACTCCGTCCTGCTTGTGCTGTTCTGCTTGTTAATTCTTCAATTCCAACTTCAACTGTCCAGCTTTACTGCATACAAGGTAACCAGTTAAAACGGTCTGTGGAGACATTTTCAGGCACACAGAAAAAGAGGGAAATGCCTGGTTACCCATTCGGACATGGATACGTAGTTATGGCACTAAAACGCGTCCCAAGTCATGGAAAAGCAACACGACAATGGCATCGGGGCGCCATTTAATCTACTGAAATTTTTTTTACGAGGTGTTTCAAGAATAGTCGCAAGAAAAGGAAGACAGCTATTTTCAATAATATTGGAGAATTACATGTATGGTCCAATTAATTTGAAAATCTTCACAAGAAAGAACGGGCCTTTGCGGGAGAAAATATCTAAAGCCCGTGATGGTCCGGCGATATCATATTTTCCCATTGGACTTTCCGTCATCTATAATTCCTATGGTCTCTGTTTAACCCAACTCTCTTCTTCCTCTTCTTCTCTTATCCTCTCGCCCAGTCAGTCACTCAAAAGTTCTCTCCTTCAAAGAAAATGTCCTCTGCAACTGCACCCGTCTTCAAGCCCTTGTCCATCACCGACTCATGTCCACCTTCCCTCTTCACCTCCTCTTCATCTGAGTCCCCTCACCCGTATCTCCCAATCCCTCACAGACCCATCAAAATCCACCTCTCTTGCTCTTCTTCCTCTTCTTATCTTGCTCACTCTACGCTCGCCCCTCATCCTCTGAGGAAGACCCATCATCCCAGTTTCGTCGCTTTCGTTGCCCAGACCTCGGATTGGGCCCAGCAAGACGAGGACAACACGGTCACCACCACCCTTGATCAAGAACAAGAACAAGAACAGGGCGGTGACTCCGAGTGGGAGAATCAAGAAACCCAAGCTCAGGTCTCGGATTGGGAAGGCGGGGGCGAGAGCAATGAGGATGGGGCTCTTGAGGAGGGAGAAGGAGATGGAGGAGGAGAAGAAGAAGGAGAAGAAGGAGGAACTTTTGTGGAACCGCCTGAGGAGGCGAAACTCTTTGTTGGGAATTTGCCTTACGACGTTGACAGTCAGAAATTGGCCATGCTCTTTGAGCAGGCTGGAACTGTGGAGATAGCAGAGGTGAACCCCAATTTCACTTTATCTGTCTTTGCACATTATATGTACGGATATGATTAATGAGAAAGCTTGTTGCTTGTCAGTTCTTGGAGGTTATTGCAAAGTGTTTAACTTTTCTAAGTCATTTGTAAGCGCAGGTTATCTATAACAGACAGACCGATCAAAGTCGTGGATTCGGTTTCGTGACCATGAGCACTGTCGAGGAGGCCGAAAAGGCTGTTGATTTATTCCACCAATATGTGAGTTTAATTCCTTAACGTGTATCGTGAGGATTAATGTTCTTGTTTCTTGGAATTCTGCTGGTTGCTGTTTATGCAAGATAGTAGATAGACCTCAAGTAGTGTGGGGATTGTCAAGGATCTCCACTAATAGGTACATTTAGCTCCTATCGGTATTATGCGGGTGTTAACTGTTTAGTTTTAGATCCAATAGTTTAGTCAGCTCTTTGAATCAAGTGTGCCCTTATCCTTGAGCTGTCTGACTTTATTCAGACCCATATTTCGCAGCTCTGTCTTTCTACCTGCCTGAAAGGTTGAATTTACACATCCGATAATCTTTCTGCATGGTTTTACTGACCAATTGTCAAGAAAGTTCTTCCCCTTTTTTCCATGTGGTTTGGTTGTCTAGATGCCGTACAGCCCTATGATATAACAGCTGTATGCTCAATTGTCGGGAATTCGATAGCATGGACGAACGATGAAAAAAAAAAGCAAATAAAGAGGAGGGAATCTGATTTTGTCAAGGGAAAGTACTTTTGCATGCGTGTATACTTTCACATCTTCCAGTCACGTGTGAAAACCAGTCACTGCTCAAGTGTATCTCTTTACTTATTTGCCAACATGCAATTTCTTTGATGTTGGCATTACTATAACTAATGAAGGTTATAAATCATAATCTTCTCAGTCCCAGTCGCATATGTGCAGGCCAAGCTTTGACGATGCATCAGCAAAACTATTATGTACATCCTTTTATTGAAACCCAAGGAAAAAAAAAACCATATAAGTAATATTTCCAAGGGAGTTGCAAATGGATCCGCAGCGGCACCAATCGGATTCATGCAACACTAGAAAGGCTTCCCATTTCTTAGTTGGAAAAATATATGGCCATGGAATAGGGATTGAGTGGAACCAAATTGACTAGGTGGTAGAGTCTTGGAAACAGCTCCTTCTTCCTCATGGTGGACCTTAGTTCCATGACGGTATGTTCAAGTCTGGACTAGCATTTAGAATCCTCATAAGGTCAAGAGCTGCGTTTAGTTGGCTCCTATGATTGACACTCTCGATACTCCTGATCTGTTGACTTTTTACTTAACTAACAAATGAAAAACATCTTGGTTTCAGAACAAAATGCTTAAAGCAATACTGAGGCCAAGATAGATGCTCTCTGACAATTGAAATTAGTCAACCTCCGATTGCTGACATATAGCCTGATGAATCAGTGAAATTGTCTGAGAATACTATATTTTGCTTAACTCAAATGAAAAACATCTTGGTTTCAGAACAAAATACTGAAAGCAATACTGAGGCCAAGATAGATTCTATCTGACAATTGGAAATTAGTCAATCTCCGATTGCTGACATTTAGCTTGATGACTCAGTGAAATTGTCTGAGAATACTATCCTTTACTTACTATGATTGTGATGCTTTGGCTCTTAACTATTTCTTTGAGTGCGAAGGCTTTGCTTATCTGATTTCAGTGAAATTTTGATGGCTACTCTATCAATTTTTAGACATTGATGAGGTGCATACTTAGAATCTTTTAGCAAGTGCTTTAATTAGTCTCATGGTTAAAAAAAAAAAAATGCAGTCTGTACTTGAGCATGTTGTGATTCCTCTGATTCAATGACGGTCCTGTCAATGATTCTAGTGCTGTTGAAAAATGACAGCTTTCTAAAGTGGTGTTGGATTTTGGCAATCATTTTAAACAGGACATAAGCGGAAGATTCTTGACTGTGAACAAGGCTGCTCCAAGAGGATCGCGGCCAGAGAGACCCCCTCGCACATTTGAGGCTTCTTTCAGAATCTATGTTGGCAACCTGCCTTGGGATGTGGATAATGGTCGCTTGGAGCAGCTTTTCAGTGAGCATGGGAAAGTGGTCAATGCCCGGGTGGTTTATGACAGGGAAACTGGCCGTTCACGAGGTTTCGGTTTTGTGACAATGGCATCAGAGACTGAAATGAATGATGCCATCGCTGCGCTTGATGGGCAGGTACTGATCTTTCTTTGCCTATTCCCTGTTCAAGCAATTGCTATGATGTGTGTCCTTTAGAAAGCGAAAATTCGATGACTTATCAATCTAAAATAAAGTTGAAAACCCCGCGTGCTTTTGTTCCCTTTTCAGTTTTGTGTTGAATCATTTTAATTACGTTTATAAGCGCATTAAACGATCAACAAAGATAAGATGTAGGTTTGTGCTGTTTAATTAGACTGAAACTTATGCAGGTTTCTTTGCTATATCAAAGTAGGATGGAAAGGATGAACGCTCAAGAATTACTTTAGAACAAATATTTTGCTTCATATATTTCTGACAGTGCTTTTGTTACTCCCGATATTTGGAGTGTCATAGAAGAAGATTAGTTTGTTTCTTCATCCTATTTAACTCGTATATGATGAATTGCTGATGATCCTTTTGGTGTCGTGGCGTTGCAGAGCTTGGACGGAAGGGCAATCAGGGTGAACGTGGCTGAGGAAAGATCAAGACGTAGCGCCTTTTAAGTTAAATTTTGATAATCCGGATTTGATTACTTTAGGTTGATTCATCATGTCATTCATAAGTTCCCGCTTGTTTCCTGTGAGCCCAGTGTAAGCTTTTCCTAAATGATGCACAAGTTCTTTTCCTACCAGGGTCTCTTTCTCTCTCTTATTTTGGTAAGCTGCTTAGACGTGCTGCTACAGCGGAAGAATACCTATTTACTCACAGCATGTTTAAATGATAGGCAAGTGATCAGATATCACAGCCAAGTCAAATATTTGCAGGAGGGCCTCCAAATGTCTGGTGCTTTGGAGTTCAAACCCTTAACGTCCCGGGAAGGGTCCTCTCTGAACTTATTGACGTTTTTCCGGTTCATACAATATCATTAACTTCAATTTGATAAGCAACACTTAGTCAATGTTTAGAATTCATATGAACCTTACAGTTTGTGGAGCAGCCGAATGGATCGTGTAATTGACTACACAAAATCGGAGGAACAAAGTATGCCGGACATCATTACCATATGCTTCGTGAATTCTTACAGCTCGTAACAACCTTACAAAAGGGTAGCTTATACAAAGACTTATCGTCTACTCTCTACTTAGTGTCATCTAGGGGAGAGAATGGTCCGAATGGAAACCCTAGAACTGAGAACCGCCCACTAAGGACCGATTTCAAAAAATTTGAATCGGAAACCGCCCGTTGGTTCCATGGATCCAATGGTCTGGTTCCCGGGTGGATCCATGGAACCGGTCCCACTAAACAAGGACAGAGACGAAAAGATGAAGATGGAGAGTCGGAGACAGTAAGATAAGCATCGATCGAGAAGAGTGAGAGAGTGAGAGTGAGCGTGAGGAGAAAGTGAAAGAAGATATTTCTCGGCTCAATATGAGGCTGTGAGCGTCAAGCAAGTTAGATTTAGTTTAGGAATTTAAGATTTTTTTTAAAAAAATTAAAAATTAAATAAATATATTATATTATATTATTATTATATTACTGGTTTAGTCCAGATGGACGAGCAGGCGGTTCCACATCTAAAACCGGGAACCGGACCGGTACCCACCGGCTCCCAAAAATTGGAACTAGTAACCGGACCGGTTCCATCATGAACCACCAATTCCGGGCGGTTCCAGGTGGTTCCCAGTTTATCTGCACACCCCTGGTGTCGTCTACCATCTTCTCTAACTTCATCTGTACATATAAGTGCTAAGGAGAAATTGCAACTGTATGGGACCGGACACAACGCATGCTTACAAATTCCGATCGTTTAAAATATCTGGGAAGTATCCAACCTTTAAAACCCCTTTAGCTGCGCATCTCGACTGGTGAGAGGGACGTATCGCACAGAAGTCTCGTCATGAACACTGATGGAACCATCAGAGTTCTTATCCACCACTTTCAGATCCTGAAATATATTCCCAACTGGAATCACCATCCTCCCTCCCGGCTTCAGCTGGTCCACTAGTGCTTTGGGTATCTCTGGGGCAGCTGCCCCGACATGGATAGCATCGTAGGGTGCGTGCTCAGGCCATCCTAGTCTTCCATCTATTAACAAATAGACACAGCACATATCGTGCAATGAGCCTTCAAGTAATTGTCACAAAAATACCAGACTTCCAAGTCAAATCCATCAAGGTTTCTTAATGAACCGCTGAAAGGGAAAATCAATGAGCAAGACAGTAAAATGCACTCGACATTTTTCCTCCCATAGACCCGCTAAGTTTTTACAAAATTTCTAATGGAAAGCAAGATAAATTTATACCATATTCATAAAAAGAAATTTTGCATCCCTTCTACTTTAGTACAATTCCAAGGGACACTTGAGTTGATCTTTTTCGAGATGGTCTACCTCCTCTTGTGTTAGGATTTTCGAATGGGTCCGTAGCAGAAGAATCGACTTGTTCTCTTTCAAGAAAACAAAGGGCAGGGGAGGGCCCTATGTCAGTTAAGGAAAACTAATGGTGACATAAAACCAAAGGCTGAATTCTCAAGAACAACAGTATCGGTTTATTCTCCCTGAGGCAAAACATACACTAGTCTAGAATAGGCAAGGCAACAATAGACAAACATACCACCCACATGGAGTGAAAGGGCTCCTTCTTTTAGAAAGGGAGCTGCTGCACTTCTCTGAACATTCTTCACTGAATCAGCAACTAACTCAGGAATATGCTCAACACCTACTGCACAACCTTGCGGCCCGACCATCATGGCAAAGCATGCTGTTAAATATCCTGTTCCTGAAAGAGTGAATTCAAGCATTGTGGCAATTAGCTTAAGAATGGTTATGCGAATGCATGTATATCATCTGCATTAGTGTATGTCCAGAGCTAATACTGCTAAACAAAGGGGGGACTAAGAAACCCAAAACATTCGAAGCAAAATCAGGGGGAGGAAAAAACAATAAAGATTGGCATAAAAACCTGATCCAATGTCTAATGCATGCATGCCAGGTTGCAAGTTATTCTCCAGTAACTCGAGGCATGTCGCATGCATATGAGGGGCAGAAATAGTAGCATTGTAACCAATAGGCATGGGGCTATCGACATAAGCAGGGGTACCCTCTGGGACAAACAAGCCCCTGTCAAGTTTGTCCATCACTTCGGCTACTTTCTTGGACCTCATAATTCCATAATTTTGTAATTGCTCCACCAGTCCTTTGTTACTATTGATGCCCCGTCCAGTCCAATATCGCTGTCATAACCAATACAGCTCCAGCATTAGGATAATACCAGCTCAAGTGTAATCACGAACAACGTTCAGAATCACAAGGAAAGAGATAAAATGTACAGACAAAACCAAAATATCTCATCAGAAACTGAGCGAAAGCTGAAGGCCGGTAATTGCGCTTCACCCAGGCCCTTCTGGTCCCTAGAAATGGAATCTCATACACCACTTTCTACCACAAACAAATCAGCAGAAATGCCTGGACTTATATCATCAAGCCATTACCTTTTGAATTTCTGTTAACAGAGGCCCACCGCACGCACAACAATGGATGTCATCATTAAACAACGATGCACAGCACGCTGCAGTGATAACTATCAGTACAAATTGTATACTACAGTATTCCCAGACAAGATGGCAAGATGTCACCTGGAAAATACACTCAATCATTGCAAATGCGACCGTGCATTGACCTTAGCGGAAATCTAAGGATCACATCCACCAAGAATTCAACAGAGCCAAGACCGTCAGCAATTACAAAACCTGAACTCGCTACTGCAGACATCATCGCCATACAGACCTTTCCCACCGATTCAGTTCATTCCCTAAAAGTAGTAGACAAAACCGGGTAGCTCGCAATTGCATTGTCTAAAGGACAAAAACAAACACTGGCCTAGGTAAGATTAGTCGGAAACTAGCATCAAACGGCAATCGCACTGACCCCCGCAAGGCTACCTCCGGACAACCACGAATCGCCAGACCGCGCCAATCACTGTCGGCACCGACGCAGACACCTCGAATTCACATGATCTCCGAAGGAAGAGGAAAAACACGCGCAAGCATGAGCGCGAGCTTTCGCCTCCGCGGAGGATGAGCTCTCACCTCCATCTGCGACAAGAGAGAGCTCCCGGCGAAGAGACGAGAGGAGGAGGAGGAAGGCCGGCCGACGAGCGCGAGGGGAGCGGCGGCGAAGCGACCCGGCGAACGCTTACGAGGACGAGCTCCGACGGCTACGGCGGCGGCGAGGAGCTTCGGAGGAGGAGGAGGCGCGCGATGGCGAGAAGCGTAGGCCAGTGTCCGCGTCGCCACCGCTGGAGCTGGAGGCATGTTCCTTCTTATTCGGTCCGTCACTTTCTGTTTCATCTTCATCTTCTTCCTCGTTCCCACACCTTCTACGCTTCGGGACACGTCATCCGTCCTCCTCCTGCTGCCACGTGGGCCGAAGGATCCGACCCTTTTCTGGTGCTCGGGTCATGGGCTTCTGGGCCGGTTGATTGCCGCTTTTGTGGGCCCGAAATGATTGTCGCTGTCGGCCGCCTGCGATGGCCCGAATTCCACATGGGCTCGGTTCCGAATGCTCCGGACACGGGGACAGTGGCCGCGTATCTGTGTCTTTGGAAGAGAAATCTTTGCTGATTAACAGGAGGCTTTTCCGTCTCAGTCCTCGTCCGGATCTTGGCCTCACGGGATGTAAAACTTCTAGAGGATACTCTCTCTCTCTCTGAGGAAAACAAAAATTCAAGAAGAATTTGGAGTACAAGGCGTGCGGGCATCAGCAAGTTAAAAAATAATAAACGCATCCGTGAAGCCCGCCCCAGAGGATGAGAACAGGTCGTGGAGGCCATTGTAGGAGCAAAAGCTCCTTTCTTTTAGTGAAGGTTACCTTTTTAACCGAGCACCAAAGATCCAAAAGAAACCCCTAGTTAAGAGGTTAAGATGAGGTTTTTGGTGGGGGTATTTATGCACCCTTTTTTACTTGGGCTCCGTTTGTTTCACGAAAAACATTGTTTGATGCCAGAAAATGAGTCAACGAAAAAGGTTCTCCCAGTCAACGGAAAACCTATACTTAAGTTTAAGAAAATGATTTCCTCTTTAAGAAATCGGAAATCCTTTTCCAAAATATGACTAGATATCGAATTTTGGACCAGAAACTCTGCAGTTGGACATGGGAATCCCAATGCTTGTTCTTGGGCCCTTGGCAGCGGGACCAGGTCTAGAGTTCGGGCCCAGTCTGCAGAGGGCAAGCCCGAGTTCCATAGAGGCAAGGCTCGGAACCCAGCACTCGAGCCCGAGTCCATCGAGGCCAAGCCGAGGACTTCTTTGACCGTGCCCATGACCCTGGCGTCTCAACCCAGGTCCATCTACGCTGAACCTAAGTACATCAAGGCCCAGCCCAGGACCCCCATGCTTGGGCCTAGGATCCCGACACTCACACCCTAATCCATCGAAGCCGGGTCGGAGGCCTTGACGCTCGGGACCAAGTCCTCGATGCCCATTCCCAAGTCCTCGGTACCCATGCCCAAGTCCATCAAGGCCAGGCCAAGATTCCTGGTGCCCACGCCCAAGTCCATCGATGTTGGGCTTGAGACCTCGGTGCCTGTGCCTAAGTTCTCAATGCCCCAGCCCGAATCTTTCGAGGCCGAGCCCGAGTACATCAAAGTTAGGCCTGAGACCTTGGTGCTCATGCTCAAGTTCTCGGTGCCTACGACCGAGTCGATCGAAGTCGAGCCCAAGACCCATCCCCGACTCGAGTCGATCAATGCCGAGCTCGGGACCTTGACGCCAATGCCTGGGTCCCCGGACCCAACGCCCTCGACCATCAATGTCGAGCTTGGGTCCATCAAGGCTAGGCCCAGAACCCAAGTGCCCTTACTCGAATCCCCGGGGTCCTGACCTCGCCTCAATGGACTCGAGTCCTGGTGACGAGGTTTCGAGCCCAGCCTCGATGGATCTCGAGCATGGGCATTGAGAACCTAGGCACAGGCGCCAGGGTCCGAGAACAGGCCTCAATAAACCCGAGTCCAAGGCCCGACCTCTATGGACCCTAGGCGAGGTGCCAGAGAGCCGGGCACTATCACCAAGTTCTTATGCCTGACTTTTGTGGACCTAGGATCGATGCCCATGCTCGTGGTCATGCTCATCCTCGGAAGCCGGGAATCCAAGCTCGAGACAGCAATGTCCATGCCCGACTCCTCAACTGCCGCACGTAAATTACTAGCACCCAAATAGTTTATATCTATTTAGGAAACTAATTTTCCCTACCAAATGGTGGAAAATGTTTTTCAGTTCATTTTCAAATTTTAGCCAAATATCGGAAAATATCCTAAAAGTGTATTTTAGAAATGTCACTTTTTTTCGCGAAACGAACAGAGCCTTAGTACACATCATTTTCCTTTGAAACTGACTTAAATACCTTAATCGATGATTCAAATATGATTAGTAAATAACTGTAATTATTCTTTCTTTATTGTCTCCTTATTTGCTTATCATTTAGTAGTCCATCCTTTCTATCGATACACATTATTGCTACCCGAAATTACATTTTGAGCTTTTTATTTCTCTATCTTATTTTCATGTATTTGCCATCTTACTATCACTTTTAAGAAGCGAAAATGGTACAGGCAAAAATACCATGATTTTTAACAAGAACATTATTAAAATCAATAAATTTCAACTGTACAATTATAGCTATGAATCAAGACTACATCTAATTCGTTGACTTAAACTGTAGTGCTACTATTTGGTGTTTGCCTTGATATAAAGAAAGAAAATTCATCAAGCCCGATACCAAATCTTGTTTCACTGAGACTCTTGATTTGTTTGGAGAGTTCCATTGAGAGAAGAATATACATTTTGATATGTGTTGATGTTGAGTCATGAAACTGCGGCCAAGCTGAATCCTGAAAAAATTATAAGGCACAAATAAAGAATTTAGTAAGATTGGTATAATTTCGATTTTTTAAGATATATAATTCGTTTAGCTGTTTCTCTTATTGCTGAATAAATCAAAAAGAAGAAAGTGTAGAAGATAAAATACACAAACTCTAGCGCTTTTGATGAATGGAGACAAAAGAAAATTGATTCGATTCTCCATGTGCTTTAATTGATGAGGGGAATGAAGATGAAGTTTTCTAAAATCCAAAGGTAGAGTCCAATAAAAAGCTTTTTCACTGTCTATCATTTGCAGTGAGAATGAAAAAGGGAGATGAATAAAAGATGGGATAGTAAGGAAATAAAGAGAGAACATATAGAAATCGATTATTGATTGTTTAATCTTAACCAAGGGCTTTCGTGGATCCTTGGTGTTAGGTAAAAGAGTGACCTCACCACAGAAGAGGAGCCGAAATTCCGACAGGGGCCTCTGCGACCTACCCTCCTAATTCTCCTGGTATCTTTGTCTTCCCTCGAGAGAGGGAATACCCTCTGAAAGTTTTACATTATGGGGATCCCGAGGTCCGGACGAGATCTAAGATGGAACCTTTTAAGGACCAGTTCAGTGATAGAGCAAATCTCCCGTGATAGAGCAATCTTCCGCAATCTGTGCCGATCTCGTAGATAACGTCATTCTTCTGTAATCTGTGCCAATCTCATTGATAGAGCAAATCTTTTACAATCTGTGATAATATTGTAGATTCTTACCTTTTGTAAAATCTTTTCAATTGTGATTCTCCCGCTCATGTACATACTATAAATATAATACAAATCTCCACACCAATCAGTGTGCGATCAAATTCAGATTCATACTCTTTGATATTATCAGAGCTCTTTTTTTGTTTGTCATTACAATGTCTTCTTCTTCCACATCCTCCAACACCATTACTGCTATCACCGATGCTGACTCTACATCCTTATTGGCCCCCTCCCAACCACCATTTGCTCCCGACAATATATCTCATGTTCTCCAAATCAAGCTAAATCGCAACAATTACCTTCTGTGGCGAGCACAATTTCTTCATTTATTTTGTCTTCATGGGTGTCTTCGGTTTGTGGATGGCTTGTATCCTTGTCCGGCACCCACTATCACTACTGCTGATAGTACTTTGATCGACAACTCGGATCATATTGCACAGCATTATCAAGATCAGCTTATCCTGTGCTGCATCCTCTCCACTCTTACTGAATCAGTTTTCTCACACATTGTCGGTCTTGAGACATCTCATGATGTCTGGACTTCACTTGAGAAACTTTATGCTCCTCAATCTCAAGCTCGAATAATGCAATTAGAGTATCAGCTTCGATCTTTAAAGAAGGGCACTCTTTCCATGGAAGCCTTTGTTCAAAAAGCCAAGAACATTGAAGATCATCTTTCTACGGCTACTCATCCTGTTGACACCTATTTTTAATTGCCCAATTACATTAATTGCACAAAAATTAGGAGTTAAATTTTTAACCCCTAAAAAAAAAACTTTCATTTAATTGAATTGCATATAGATATTAGGCACATTTACATTAATAGGGCCTCCTAAAGCATATTTTCTTAATTAAAAAAAACTCAAAAAATTATTAAAAAATTCAAAAAAAAGTCGAGTTGTTAAGTCGGGTCAGATCCGGGTTGGTCAGGACCTGGGTCAACAACCCGAGTTGACCCCCGACCAGGGGATCCGACTCGAATCTGCCGACCCGACTCGATGATTATTATATTAATATTTTTAAAAAAATTTGAAAAAAATTTGCCATATTATTATTATTATTATTTCTAAAATATATATATATTTTTTCGAATTTTTTATTTTCTTTTAAAATTAGGAAATAGTTTAGAAATTAATCTTTTTTTGAATATTTTTCTAAATTATGTGAATTATTTGATTATTAATCATATTTAAGTCAAATAGGCATATAGGGCTATGCGGTAGGATTTTGCATGTTATTTTTACCAATGTTGTATTATTGTATGCATGTTGCTTCTAATTAGAATATAATTACATAAATTGCCATGTTTTGAATGTTGTCGCCTTAATTAGGGTTAGAACCCTAGGATGCATATCTATCTTGACTGCTAATCATTAATGATTGTGCACTCGCTCGATCACCTCACATGTTAGGAGAAAGGTCCTAAAATCAATCCAAATTGCTTGACAAAAATTTTCAGAAATGAACAGGGTAAAAAGGTACCGAAATGGCATTAGTTATCCAATTAATGTAACCAAGTCCCCGAACTTATTTAATCTCTGGTTCGTAGGAGTAGCCTTACTTGGGCTTCTAATCGATCCACCCTAAATCGATTAATGGCGACTCCTAGATAAAAACCACTTGCAAGTTAAAAACCTAAACTCTAAGTCGCGATATGATATGCGCTTAGGAGAGCCAGAGTTAAGTCCTAGACCTAGACTTAGTGCATACCAGGCGAGACCCCCCTTTTTTTTTTAA